GCCCACCTCCATTCTAGAGCAGATTTTTCTTCACATTACATGATTCCTCAAACTGTACAGAGGACTTTCTGCACCTGAAATGGTACAAAATTAGGATGGTCTTGCAGAGCAGGGTGAGGTGTGGGCAGCTCTGGCAGTGCTGATGACTGTAAGTCTCCACCACCATCAACAGTCCTGGTCCCCCACCAGCTGCAGGAAGCAGGATCTCTTTGCATACGGCAGGAATAACGTAGGACCAGGATTTGTGTGAAGTTCAGCCACTCGAACTTGAACCTGAAGAACTGTTGCAGTAGTTCTGGATGCACATCACACTGCAAGATGCAGGAGTCCAGATCTCAGGTGTGAGCAGGGGCAGTAACAGCCCAGACAGCAGCACCTTTTTTTTTTATCATTTTAGAAAAACCACGTTGAAGGCTGGAGTGAATCTCCAGAGCTCCCAAGTCGGAGACCACCACTCGGTTATGCTCCACTTCTCCAAGCTCACACAAATCTCTCCCACCTCCCACTGGCACTGTCCCCTGGATCACACCAACCCTTTATAAACACACCCAGAGAACGCTTTTGTCTCTTCCTGTCCTTTTCAGATATTTTGGGTATTTGTGGCAATCTCTCCTGTTTATATAACAAAGCCACAGCCCAGTGTTTGTGACACCATATCCATGGAAACCCTAATATAGCATGCACAGGCGACTAGATCTCATTAGGTGGCTCAGCTGCGGCAGCACTGGGGAGGGAGTTTCTCTGGGCTGCTCTGGTGGGAAGGGGCCTGGCTGCACACTCAGCCTTGAGCCCCTGGCGAGGCAGCACCTCCCAAAGAGAAATGATGCTCTCCTGTTGCTAATCTTGGCTGTCCCACCACCAGCTCGCCATGGCACGGCCCAGCCACCCACCTTTGTCGCTGCAGCAGGTCTGTGGGTGCACGGCTGGACCAGGAAGAGAGGCAGAAGTGATGGAGATGCTCAGTCATGGCAGTCCTTGCCAGAGCAGGAGCAGCAGGATCGAGCTGTAAAGAGCAGCTGAGGTCCAGTTCTGTGTCTGATTCAGGGAGACGACTCCAGTGCCAGTGGAGAGGTCCAACTGCATGGTTGGGCTGGGTCCCCTTTGGATGTGGTCCTCGCTGAGGAGGAGGCAGAGGTTTTCTTACAAGGTGTAAGAAAAAGAAAATTTTGTCCTGAGGAAGGCAAAACAGGTTAGGAGAAAGCAAGAAGTTGGAACAAGCAGAGGCTTAACAAGTGGGATGTTACAGCTTTTGTTGTTCTTGTGCTGTAAGGCACAAATTCATGTGCAATGGCTCTTGCCTCCCACTGCTGCTGGATCACAGTCTCCTCCAAGTGTCCTGTCCTGACTGTCACCAGCACATCTGTGGGTTAAACAGCAACTGCTGCTGTCACATGTGGAGGTTCCTGTGCAAAACCATGCAGCTCACTGTGACCCAGCAAGACCCAGGTGACAGACACATTAAAATCACTTTAGAGAGCACAGACACTCACCTGTGTCTCTGTTGGGCAACTGAAACTCAGATTTGTGTCCCCACCACCTTCTCAGTGCATGACAAAGCCAACAGTCAGTGGGCAGATCCCTGATCCTTCCGATTTGTTGTGGAAAGAGGACTGAGCAAAGTGATCCCTTGAAAAGGATGATAAACAGTTCTCCCAGTTTTGGGATGTATGGAACACCACCTGTGGGCCACAGGGCTGGTCCCAACTCTATGGCTCTGGAATAAAGGGTGAGAGGTGGATCTGGCCCAGAGAAATTGCAATACAACACCGATCAGGGCAGGGGGCCCCAGGACCCTGCATGTTGCCCATCCCCGTGAGCATCTTCCCTACTTGCCAGCTCCCTCTTCCCCCTTCTCACACCACGTCGGGTCCAGCCTGAGTCAGACACTGCCAAACCTCATCAGCACCGAGGCAAATTCGATCCTGGTCTGGCTGGCTGTGGATGGGGGCTGTGGATGGCAGAGCCCCGGGGCATGGAGAGCTGCACTGGCCGTGTGGGAGCAGACAGCAAAGCTTCCCTTCCCTCCCTGCCCTTGCCCAAATTGAATTTCCATTTGTGTTAGCGAGGCAATGGATTATAGCTCCGAGGGGTGCTGCCTGCTTCGGTCCCTAATTTGGCGCATCAATTGTGTTTAAACCTACTTACCTGTAAGGCAGCCTTTGTTCCAGGCAGGCAGCCCTCACTCCTGCCGATGGAGGCAGCTGCTTCCCCAGCTCCCTGCCACGAATGTCAGGCACTGCTGCTGCCAGGGCTCTGGAACCCACAGCTTATCTCCGGCTTTGCATCCAGGGTCATTAATGGCAATGAAAGGCCACAGCATTTTGCCACCAGGAGGGTTTGGATGTCTGGCCCCGCAGAGGGACAGGGTCAGCAACACCCACAGGGGGATTAAAGCTGCTGCTGGGGTTCATTCAGCATCCAGCTGGGGCCTGGGGGACTCAGCTGAGCACTGTCCATCAAAACCAGCCATTCTACAGGATTCACAGCACACTCCAGCTATTCCCTGGGTGTTACTGCACTCTTGGATCTTTTCTACCAGGGGATTTGGCAGGGTCTCTACCTGGGAGGGACATGGGGTGTGCAGAAGGACACCTGAGTCTCATCTCCAGCACAGGATGCTCCTGTGTTAGTACCAGCACAATTGTGGTGGCACTGGCTCTGTCAAGAGCTCACAGGTGGGCAGAAAGCTGCTGCTGCTGCTCTGCCCTCAAGAAAAGGGGTTGAACCACCCCCTAGTACTGGACCCATGGGAAGCTGCTCCATGTCAGCTCTGAGTGGTCAGAGATCCAGAAACAGGAAACTGGCATTTCCACATCTCATTGAAATCCTAAAATAAACACCTGAAGCAATGAATGGAAAGCTGGATCCTTACTCTTCACCTGGATTTCTGAGGGAGAAACTGAAGGGGAGAGAGGGAGATATACATTTTATTTTTTTTTCCTCTTCAAATAAATTCTCACTGCTTATCTGCAAAGTTCAGCTGTTTTCAAGCTGACCTGCCCGTGTTATGCTGTGCCACTGCAAATTCCTTCTCTACAGGAAAGCTCAGGAGCTCCACTTGCACACGCCAGCAACCTGGGGTTTCATCTCTAATAGAGGGAGGCAGAACTCGTTAGCTGAGGACCCTCTCCTACCCCCCAGTGAGGATCACTTGCCTTCCTGCCGTGCTGGCAGCTCAGCTTCTTCTCTTTACAATGAGGGAACAAAGCCAAGACAGGTGGAGACGTGGGTGAATCTGCTTGGAGGAGGTCAGGGATGGGGAAGGACAGAAATCTGTTCTCAGGGGCTTTCGTAACGCAGCCAGATGTCTGCCCAAGCACCAGGGCTGGAGGATGAAGGACACCCATAGGACGCCTTCAGTGCATCCAGGAATGAGCCCAGGAGCCTCAGGCAAAGTGGGGGGTGCTGCATCCTCCTCCAGGAAGGTGAGCAGAGCTGTGGAAGGATTGAGGTGCAGATCCAGCTCCCCAGGGCACTGCAGGGGCTCCATTCACAGCTCCCGTGAATACAACCCCAGCCCCCCAAAATGCCATGGTGGGGGCCTTCCCAGGCATCCCCAGTGACCTCCTGCATGTCATGCTATCCACACATGTGCTTTTGAGGCTGACACCAGCAGCAGTGGGAGGGCTGGTGTGGGACTGGGCTGTGCCCTGGAGTCATTGGACTAGAGGGGTGTGGGATGGGGCTGAGGGATGCTCATCTGGGAGAGCAGGTAGAGCTGAATCAGAGACCAAACCCTCTAACCAGCAGGTCACCCGACAAGGAGAGATGCCCCGGATCAATCGACGCATTCCTGAGTAATGGTTATGTCTTAGGACAGCAGAACCTCATCGAATTTAACGTGGAGATGCACACGCTGATGATTCATTAAAACACCCGGGCGCTGAGCTGAATCTATTTCCTCTCATTACACAAGGCTGGGAACCGTGGATCTGCCCCTGTGACATTGCTGCAAGGACCAGGAGTGAAACCCAAGACCCAGAGGGGACTGGGGGGGACTCCGCATGGAAGGCATCCGAGAGCATCTCCTGTCACGTGAGCTGGCATCAATAAAACAAGACCACAGACTCGGAGACTAAAGCAATGTGTGTGTGTGTGTGTGTATCAAGGAGCTTGAGGCAGTTCATTATAATTCCAATTAACGTGGAAAAGTTAATAACCGAAAGAGAATACATCAGACTTTAAACGAATGAGAAGGGGGAGGGGGAGAGACAAAAGGTGTCTTTAAACTGGAGTCGAAGTCCCAGAGTCACAAAAGCAAAGAAATAGCAAATATTTATCACACCCAATGGTCCAGGGAGGTAGGAGCTTTGATGGGAGCCAAACTGGGGTGGGAGAGGAGCTGGGCTTTGCATGGGAATCCTTATTTTTGGATGCTGTGCTGGGGTTTGGAAGGGCCAGAAATTAATCACAGAAAGGCAAAAAAGGAGAGGAGAGAGGGGAGAGGGGAGAGGAGAGATAAGAGATGAGAGAAGAGGAGAGGGGAGAGGAGAAAAGAGATCTCATTTCTGGCTGTTTGGGGAAAATCAGCATTTCTCTGGTATTTAACCTTGCAGGGAAAATATTTCAAACACTGTCAATATTACCTAATGCCTGGGAGCCCAGGCAAAGCCCTGCTTGTGATCAGGGCTCCTTTGTGCTAATATTCTGTCCGCCTTTGGGGTGATCCCAGGTTGGGGTACATGGGGACCCAGGCCAGAAGCACCACGAGCAAGGTAGAGCATGTCCATGCAGGGCTCAGTAAGAGCAGCCTGTGAGGCAACAGCCCTTTCCAGCCACTAAGGAAGATTTAAGAGTGAATCACATCAGCCCAGTCGAATTCAATTGCTATTGATAATGTCCATGTGCAATTAGAGCCAATTAAGGGGAGGCAGCGAATGACAAAAGCCAGAAGGTGGGGTGGGGTGTGTGTGGGGGGGTCAATACAAACTGTCCAATTTCCCAACAACTAAATTCAATTAAAGAGTATCACTTACCCAGCTTGCCCAGGAGGGCCAGCACATAAATGGGCCAGGGCAGGCAGCGGGTGCTGTCTGGGCAGCATGCAGAATTCCGGGAGCAAGCCCTGCTCCTGCCCCAGCTTCAAGCTGCGGGAAGTGGCATCCATGTACTTCACCATGATCGCCGTGTTCCTGGTCATCTTGGTGGTGGCTCTGCAGGGCTCGGCTCCCCGCGGGAGTGATTTTCCCTACAAGGTGCCCCTCGACCCCCAGGGGCTGCTGGAGCTCTCCTGGAATGTCAGCTACCCCGAGCAAGCCGTGAATTTCCAGCTCCTCATCAGGGACCTGCAGTTCGGGCTCCTCTTCGGGATGTCGGACAGGGGCGAGTTTGAGAACGCGGACCTGGCCGTGCTCTGGAGCGATGGGCGCAATTCCTACTTTGGGGTGAGTCACTTGTATGTTTGCATGGGTGCTTATGGAGTTCCCTCCCTGCAGGTGAATCTGGTTTGAAAGAGTAGGACTGGCCCAGGGCACAGAGCACATTGGACCAGTCCCACTGCTCAGGGGAAAGGGGTCCAAAAGGTCTTGGAAGGGTCTACCCCAGGGGAACCCATGGATCAGGTGCACACGATGGGTTTGGCATAGGAATTGAACCCTAAGAGAAAAGAATAAATACAGCAGCACATCAGCAAGGCTGAGTGGAACCAGAACCAGGATGTCTCTGCTGTGTTTAGCCGCAAAGAGCTCCAACAGGGGGTTGTACTGACCAGCTCACATTCACACACACACACACACACACACACAGGATGCATCAACACCTTGGTTTGCTTCTGTGCTGCCATCAGTCACATTAAAAATTAACCACAGCTCCCGTTAATGGCTTTGAGACAGGGCAAAAGTCACCAATCAGAGAGGCTGCTCCTGCCAGCACCAAGAACCCGGCTGCGAGTTGCCTCCGACACTGCCATCAGGATCAACAACAGGGACAACGGGGCAACCTGGGGGGGCTGTCAGAAATTAGACATGCAAATGTATTTGGGTGATAAGTGAACACCTCGTGGTAGCAAATGCGGAGGAGAAACTAATTTCTGATGGTGCTGTTTGATATTGCTGCTGCAAATCTCCACTCCTCCTGACACACAGTTTGTCTGAGTCCTTTCCCCAGACCACCACGTTCAGCTTATTGCCCTTGCACCTGGCTGCAGAAAGCAATTCACATTTTTCCCCGTGTGAGGCTTTCCAGCAAGTTAAATTTTTACCTCTCTGCTTACTTCAAATTAACCATAAAATACGTTCTTTCGCAATCAGCCGCAATGTGATCTGCAGTGTAATGAAAGCATGAAAACAGGGGCTTATTATCTGCACTGTTTTCCTGCTAATTACCAGCCATTCAGGATCTGTGGTGGCCCGAATGCTACAGTATCTCACAGCATCATTTTAAGAAAACATAAAGGATCATTTCTAATCTTGCCTCCGTGTGCTCACCGAAAGACAAACAGCACTGAGTGAAACACCCGGCAGCATTAAGGTTTTCTCTTTCACTTGGTGCTGAACAGCATCCTGCCTGGAGATTTCAATAAATCTCTCCAGTCCTGGTTTTCTCTCTCCCAGCAGCCTTTCTTCTGGATAAGTATGTCAGCTGTTAAAAAGATCCAAATTTGCTTAACCCCCCATGTACTACAAGATTAATTTGCACACCATATTCCTATGAAAACAAATGTCATGCAAGCTCCATGTAGCTGATTTTACTCTCTCCCTCTAAGGACAATATGTTCTCAAAATATGACTCTATAGTTCTGGCTGAAATTATGCCAAGTTGCTTTATTCTTTTTCTTCTGTTTTTTTCCCCCAAGATAAGAGAACTGATGTCACTTTTATATATGTATAGCAAGGCACTTCTTGGGTGCCTTTTCTCACTAAATAAAATATATATCAACGATAGAAACAAAAGATCAAGGCAACAACCCTGTTCAATTCCAAATTATTGCAGGATTTTATACTCCAAACCTTCAAGTCCTGGAGCACAGGAGTAACCTACTGTTTTGCTTCTCAGTGTGGCTTTGTCACCATCCTCAACAACGAGCAGTTTTTGAGAGGGCTTCCAGAACAATCTGACCACAACAAATAAGGATTTTGAAGAGGGGGCAGCAATTTCTGGGGCTGACATTACAGCCCAGCAGAGGTCTGATCCTAAATTGAGAGCAGCTGGCTTGTGGCAAGGGTTTTGGAGAGCACATCACCCCCTTCTAGAAGGTCCCCCCTGGACAAATACACCCAAAATGCAGCATAGACTGACCAGACTGATGCAACATTTTCATGTGCCCCTGCAGGCTTTCTTCCCCCCTCCTTTTCACATCTCAACTTTTAAAGGTCTTTCTGCAGACTATTAGTGCTGGGTCAGGTATTTCACAGGTCATCCTGTGCTGAGCACCAAGAGCCTCGTGGCAGGGGCTGTTCTGGCACCGCTGTGCCTGGGGGGTGCTGGAGCTGGGCATGGAGCAACCGAAACACAGACCCCAGGATCTGTAGTAGCTCTGGAGGTGCCTCTGGGCTGATCAGGGTGCTCTTTCTCTCACAGGATGCCTGGAGCGATGCCAAGGGGCAGCTCCACATGGATTCACAGCAGGACTACCAGCTCCTGGGGGCTCGGAGGGCCCCCGAGGGGCTCTACCTCCTCTTCAGAAGAGCCTTCAGCACCTGTGACCCCAAGGACTACCTTATAGAGGTATACACCACCACCCTCACCCCTCTGTGCCACTGTGGCACCCCTCAGCCCTGGGGCACAGCTCCAAACCCCCAACCTGTGTGGTTATATCTGGTTTTGGAGGCAGCATCAGGTGTTTGTGCTGCCTGTGGCAGAAAGGAAGCGAGCTACAGCTGTCAGTCCTGGGACATGAGTAATGTTTGGCACCATCTATTTATGACCCCTTATAAACCTCTATAAAAGTGCAGATTTTAGCTCATTTGCATCATCAGCTCCTGGTAAGCATGTGTTAGGTCTATATAAATACCTCCTGCATCACTCTGGTCTGCCGTCTGGAGCCAACTGTTGGGAGTGTTACGAAGAAGGGGTGGTGTATCAACAGGAGGCAAAGAGGAGGGTTGTGGCAGGAGCTGGAACAAAGGGACAGCAAATAGAGACACTGTGCTGTGCTTGTATGTGGCTTGCTGACGTTTCTCTGGGTCTGCATTGACCACTGCCCTGTGAGATGGGACTGGGGGGAAATCTTCCCAGTGGGGATGTCAAACAGCTTCAGAGTCTCAGCCATGGACCCCAGGTGCAGGCAGGAATTGGTGCAAGGCTCATCTCAGATGAAAGCCTTTGTGGGCAGGATATTTTAGAGCCAACGTGGGCACAGAGTGTCCTTGAGTTTTTGTTGCTGGTTTTTCAAAAGCTTGTCTTGTGGTGAGAAACATCTACCGTCTGCCAAAACACTGAGAGCCCTGGAGGAAAAAATCTGTGTGTGAACAAGGAAAAGACTTGCAGGTCTTTATTCTCTGATCCTTTAAGAACAGATTATTCTCTTTTTCCTTTCTTCCTTATCTCCTGTCCAGAGCTCTCTGTGTTCAGCAGCACCTTTCTTCCTTGCAGTAGACTTTGAGCAGAGCTTCTTGTGGCACCTTCCCCCTCAACAGGAGCTGGGAGAAAAGGGAGGATTTCAGGGAGAAGTTTTGTGTCTGCTGTTACTGCCCAGGCCTCTTACTGGGGCTGGGCTGCAGGGTGGGATGAGCCCTGCACTGATGGGGTTGTCCCAGCCTTGAGCTCATGAGAGAGGAGGGGCTCTGAAGCAAAACAGGGACAGTATGTTAAGCCTTATGGAATTTCAGACTCTCCCACCTGGCAGGGAACCCTCTGTGATCACCTCAGCCAAAGAAATGCCTCAGATCTATAATATTCCTGGGACAGCACAGCAGAGGGAACTACTGGTGCACTCAGGGTAGCTTCCCACCTGGGAATGGGTCAAGAGATCCATTCCTGGGTTCATGCCACCAGTACTGATACCAATAGTCCATGCAGCTCATGTTTCTACATGGTAAAAAACTGCCTGATATACTGTGTTCTTGCTTCAGGATGGCACTGTGCACCTCATCTACGGGATCCTGGAGAAACCAGTGCATTCCCTCCAAGCCATCAACATATCTGCCATCCACGGGGGGCTGCAGAGGGTGCAGCTGCTGAAGCCCAACATCACCATCCCTGAACTGCCCAGTAACATGAAGACCATGGAGATAAGAGCCCCAGACGTTGTCATTCCCAGCCAAGAGACAACCTACTGGTGTTACATGGTAGAGCTGCCAGAAAACTTCCCCAAACATCACATTATCATGGTAAGAAGTAGGAGGAGAGGCTGCCTTCCCCTGGGCAGATGAGCAATCATGTTTTCATTCAGCCATCCTGCAAAGTCCATCCCTTCCTTCCCTGTCGCAGGGAGGCTTTCAGACCCTTGCATCTTCCCAGACATGGGCCCAAAACATCTCCCAGAGCCATCCCACCAGCCAGTAGCATCCTAATCTCTCTTAACCCAAAATCAGAAGTTTCTCAACAGGAAGTGGCCAGTTGGTGTCTTTCCACCTGGCACATCCAGCAGGTACCAGGGCAGGCTCAGAGATGACTCCCTGCAAAGGCAAAGCTGTGGACATCAAGGACAGACCCACAGCAGGATTATGGCACAGCATGAGCTATGAGGAATATATAAGCATGGGAAACAAAGGAAAAGGGCTGGCAAGAGCAGGGCATACTCAAAAAAAAGAGGGTTACAGACATAAATAAAACTTATGTGCCTTGCCCAGGCGTGTTGCAGGTGCTTGGGTCACCTCCCTCAAAGGAGAGGAGGAAACCTGCTGGCAGCCTAATGCAGGGAAAGGATGAGCCCTGGCAGCTGTGGAGGTGGCTTGGCAGGTGAGCTGGCACACCCAGAGTCAAAACCACACAGTGGAGAGAGGGAAAACCTGAAGCAAGAGCTGAAGCGAGTGCTCGGTGATTTATAGGGGAGAGACGGTGCTGCAAAGGAAAGCTCAGAAGGAGGATTTTCTCTCTAACAGATGGTGTGAAGTGAATCATCTGTGTGTAAGTAAAAAGCCTGTAACTCCTGATACCTTCCCGCTGCTGCAGATCACTTCTACAGCTGGCACTTTTAGCCAAAGCCATTCCTCAGACTGGTTTTAATCACTCTTTCTACCCCAAATTCCACTTGCCATGCCTCAAGCAGCTGTCAGATAGAAACAAAACCCAACAGCTTCAGTCAGAGCTACCATAAGGTGGCCAGGACTCTTTTTAGGAAAAAGCATTGTCCCCAGGGTCACCTCAGCCCTGCAAGACTGGGACTCAGTCATCACAAAGCAGACCAAGATCTTCTGCTGACCCTGCACCTGTTGCTGGAAAAAGGATGAGGTGTTTCTATATGTGGTCTGGTGGGCTCTGGGTTGGTCCCAAGGCCAACCAAGAGACTAAATGTTTCCACAACTGCCTTGAGTGCTGTCCTTGGGTGCTAGTTCCAGCTTAACCTCCTCTTGCTAGCCAAAATATAAAGTAAAAGCTCTTGGTGCTTGGTGCCCCACACCCAGAACAACCTTCCCTCCCCACCACGGGGTAGAAACTGTCTCCCATTCAGTAGCAGGTGCCAGACATACCTGTCTTAGCTCCTCCTGGAGCCTGGACGATGCCAGCCTCAGGGATTGACTCTCAGTGTGTCCTCCTTCTGGGATCTGCTTTGCAGTACGAGCCGGTGGTCACGGCGGGCAACGAGGCTCTTGTCCACCACATGGAAGTCTTCCAGTGCGCGGCCGAGTTTGACACCTTCCCCCGCTACAACGGGCCCTGCGACTCCAAGATGAAGCCAGAGCGGCTCAACTACTGCAGGCACGTGCTGGCAGCCTGGGCCATGGGAGCACAGGTGGGTGCAAAGGTGAAAACTGTCCTGTTGCCTCCCAGCCCTTCCCAGTCCCCTCTTGGGGTTGCCCTGTGTGAGTTGCTCCCACCCCATTCTCCGCTGGGGTTTGGGTCCAGCCCTGTCTGACCTCCCCAACCTCCCCCTGGGTGCATCTGAGCTCCTGCCTCTCCCCAGCTCACCTCCTTGGTGCCATGAATCTGGATCCCAGGTGCAATACAGTTTGGGTTTCCCCCAACTTCATATCTCAGCCCTGATCCAGTCTGGGTTTCCCCCTGTTCCTGATTCTGGGTGTAATCCAGTCCATGTTTCCCCCTATTCCGGTTCCCAGATGTGATCCAGTCTGGGTTTTCCCCATTCTGTATTCTGGCCCTGAGCCAGCCCGGAATTCCCCCTATTCCAACCTCATCCAATCTGGTCTTTCCCCCATCCTGTATCCCACCTGTGATACAGTCCATGTTGTCCTCAATTCCAGTTAGGCACTGGAAGAGGCTCCCCAGGGTAGAGGTCACAGAGTTCAAGGATCCTTTGGACAACACCCTCATGCACATGGTGGGATTTCTGGGGTTATACTGTGCATGCCCAGGAGTTGGACTTGATGATGAGCCTTCCAACTCAGGACATTCTGCTGGGGGGTTATGTCACTGCATGTACCTGTGGCACAGGAGAAGCCTTTGGAAACAAGACCAGCTCACCAAGCACAACCAAGAGCTCAAGTCATGCCCCTCAGCCCACAGTGAGGGTCAGGATGATGGCCAGACATTTCCCTTTGGCTTTTCAGCCTTGTCCCTAGGATAAGCCACCCCACTGCTCCCCTAACACCCTCCCTCTGCTTCCAGGCTTTCTACTACCCTGAAGAGGCAGGTCTTGCCTTCGGTGGCCCAGGCTCCTCCAGATATTTGCGCCTCGAGATCCATTACCACAATCCTCTGGTGTTCAAAGGTGAGGGGGTGTGAGCAATGCCTGCTGCCTCCCCAGTAAGGGGAGAGCTGGGGAGATTCCAGGGAAGGCCTGACATCCTGTTGGGGAGGGCTCTGGACAAAATCATAGCCCTGTTGGCAGCTATCTGGAGGCACGATGGTCCAGATCTGTCCTAGCAGGAAAAATACATTAAGTTCCCACCATGGTGCCTCTTTTCTGGTCTCAGCAAAGTCATCTTTGCTGAAGGCTGGACCTGTGCAAGCCCAGAGGTGGAGAAGGATGCTCAGGAAAGGAACCTCTCTGAGCCTGCAGGCAGAAAACTACCCCTACAGAGTTCCTGCGGGGATGTGATCCAAAACAGCACCAATATTTAGCTGGACTGTCTCTGGGTGTCCCTCCAATTTCCTTGCAAGGTGGTGGTGGTGGATCTCAGAGCAAGAGAGACAGTGGTGCCAAGTCACCAGGGAGGAAGCAGCAGCAGCCTGGCTGGGGATGGGGGGATGTGGATGTTGTTTTACTGTACTCCTGCTTCGATAACATTGTCAGGAGACACATTGAAAAAAAAATAAGGTTCCAAACAGCCCAGTTTCTTCATTAACATAAAAACAAGTAGCTTCTTGACTACCCAAGTGTATTTTTAGGAGACCAGAGCATATGCACTGTAGATCAGTCATAGCACATTCGGCAACTCGAGAAGAAACACGTCTATAAATACAGAGCTCATGTCTTTCATAATTTATCTGCTTTTGCATGTTAACCAATAGTGTCTCCCCCGTTATTCTTATCCCTGAGTGGGCTAAAGCCTGGAGACAGGGGGTTCAAAGCTGGCCTGAACCCCTCCTGACCTACTGACCCTGCTCTTTCCCTTTGCTTTCGTGGCCTTAGACTTCTGGATGTATCAGCTAAAGAAGATGCAATGACCCATATTTCTGAGGGACTTCTCTAAAGCACCCCATGCTCTGTGTCCTTCTGCTTTGGGCTCTCCAATGGCACCCTTATCTCACTCTCCTGGGAGCAATTCAGCCTTAGGTCAACAGCCTCTCTAGGGGAGCAGGCGCGTCTGGGCGCACTCAGCAAAGACTTGCATGAAAATGCCGAGGATTTAAAACAAGAACCACGCACAGGTTTAGAAAGCGAGAGGCTGACGATGCAGGGCAGTTTATCACACCTGACCTTGTCCCTGCAGTGACTCGTCCTCGTCCTCTCTCGCCCACCAGGTCGCCGTGACTCCTCAGGGATCCGGCTGTACTACACGGACAACCTGCGGCGCCACGACGCCGGGATCATGGAGCTGGGCTTGGTCTACACGCCCGTCATGGCCATTCCCCCCGGCGAGGACGCCTTTGTCCTCACGGGCTACTGCACCGACAAATGCACCCAGGTGGTGAGTGCCCGGCCTCTCCACCCCGGCTTCACCCCGGAGAACAAAGTTTACTCACGGCTTTCCCCAGGCCCCAGGCAGAACTGAACTCCAGTCTCCTGGTTCCCAGTTTTGAACTTACCGTGAGGTTGTGCTGAAAAGAAAAAAAAAAAAAAAAAATCTGCTGTGTACAACAAACAGAGAGCAGCTGGTTGGGACGTGCTGAATCCCCCTCGAAGCAGCTCTCCTGGGGAGCCATCTGCTCCAGCTCCCCGGGGTACCATTCCCATAAAACTTACTGCCGAGCTGGCTGTGTCCCAGTGGTGCTTCCCTCCATGGGGAAGAGAAAATTGGCTTCTGCGTCCAAGGAGCTTGCCAAGAGCTCTCTCAAAGATGGTTCTGAAATGCCCACCTTGCTCTCAGGGATATTTTAGTATACGTTTTTGTAGGGCCTACCCAACAGGAATCATTTGTTCCACCGCTAACGAGTGCAGGGAAGCAAGCAGCATCCGGCTCAGCTGCTCCTGCTGACCCAGAGAGCTGGTTTGGCAGCGGACTGAGAGTCTGTCCCTCTGCCAGGAGCTCCCTGACAACCTGCTCCGAGGGGACAGTGATCCCCTAAACTCCTGTGTGAGAGCCAGGACAGGGGCAGCTGGTTCCCAGCACACAGCAGGGGATGTGTGGGAGGGGAGAGGGATGGGGTCAGCATGGGGCCTTGAGCTGTCCTTCCCCCAGGCTCTGCCCGCTGCTGGCATCCGCATCTTCGCCTCCCAGCTGCACACTCACCTGGCAGGAAGAAAAGTGGTGACAGTGCTGTCCCGGGACGGGAGAGAGCGGCAGGTTGTGAACTCCGACGGGCACTACAGCCCTCACTTCCAGGTACAGGGGTCTGCAGGGGCAGTGGGGTCCTGGCTGGGTGTCACCCGAGGGGTTGCCCTGGGCGCAGTGCCACGGAGCTGCTCTGATGTGACCCCTTTCCTTCCCTCCCAGGAGATCCGCATGCTGAAGGAGGTGGTTGCAGTCTTTCCAGTGAGTTGCTCCAGAAACCGTGGCAGCTTCCAAACAGCACACCCTGACCCCATGACCTTGAGCCCCCCTGCCTCCTTCCATCACCCCATCCCCTCTGGGGACGTCCCTGTGGGCTGCAGGACAATGCCGCCCCTGGGTCATATCTGCCACCCTCACGCCTCGGGGATATCGGGGCCCATCTCATATGGCACAAAACTGGTGTGTGGGCAGCAAGGAGCTGAATTAAGCACCTAATTTAGTTGGACTTCGTCTACCAGAGGGAGGCTCCTCAGGGGGTGAGGATGAACCACAGTGGTGCCCCCTCTCCTCTCTGGGCAGAAGGAGAGGAAGAGGTTCAGCATCAGTGGTGGGAGTGTGTGGTAAAACAGAGGTGGGAAGTGCCCTGGAGCCTTTTGGGTGAGGAAGAACCTGGCTGCAAAGTAGAGGACACCTGTGGGACCTGCCATGCCCCACGAGGCTGCCCAAAAAACTCAGCACTCATTGAGACCCCACCCACATCTGTGCTGGGACCCCGCGGTCCCCAGCGCTGACTGTGACAGGGAGGCTGTTGTGCCATCAAGTCGGGTACAGATCTGGCACTTCAAACTGTTGCCTAAGTGCATTTTTTTAAGGTATTTCAGCCCTGCAGAAATTCTTAAAAAGCGAGGAAAGCAGGAAACACCATCCCTGGGATACAGCCCTAGGGAATCTCCACAGGGGATGCAAGTTTAGCAAGCGCTCCTGTGGCATTGTAGAGAGTGCTGGTGGGGAAACAGGCTGCTGATATGGGGAGCAGAGATCTGCTGTGTTGTATGCTCCCCAAATCCCTTAATTTGCCTGTGTTTGAACCTCCCCAGGGAGATGAACTCATCACCACCTGCACATACAACACACAGAACCGGAGCCAAGTCACCGTGGTGAGTGCAAGGGCAGCTCACCTGCCTTGTGTGGGGCTCAGGTGTGTTGGTACCCCAGGGCTGGGGGCACCCACAGAGTGGGCTCCTGCATGAACCCAGGCTGAATCACAGCCAGAAACCAGAGGGAGTGTGGGAAGAAGGGAACTCACAAGGCTCTGCTGCCTGCAGCGGGGATGGCAAGGTGCTAATTGTGAAGTAGCATGTGTCACTCTAATTCCCATCACAAACTGTTCCACCAGGAATTAATTGTAATTAAAGAGAAGTGGCATTTTTTGACAGTGCGTGTTATTTTCTTACATAGGTAGGAAAAAAAAAAAAAAAGAGCCTGACAGAGGTACCATGGTACCATCAACAGGGACAAAGCTAAATATAGCAGAGGGATTATAGGAAATCTGCATTTTAATGTAAACCACACTGTCTAGCCTGAAAGTCTGTCCTTGCACAAAGGGCAGATGGGCAGAGTGCTGTCCATCCCGTGCACCTGAAGGGGTGTGTATATCTATATTTATGTATCTATATCTATTTAGATACCCAGATATATAGATATACAGATTATAGCTATAGATATATGTGAGCTTTGTGTCCCCCTGCCCTCGCTGCTGGCTGTGCAGCCCCGGCAGGGCATAGTCAGACTCCGCTGCCATCACCTTTGTGTCTGTGCTGCAGGGAGGGTTTAGCATCCTGGAAGAGATGTGTGTGAACTACGTGCACTACTACCCCCAGACGCAGCTGGAGCTGTGCAAAAGCGCCGTGGATCCGGGATACCTGCACCGATACTTCAACCTCGTGAACAGGTACAGAGCCCCTGCATGGTGGGGCTGAGGGGAGAGGCATCAGTGCAAAACTCTGTGGTGGTAACACCAGAAAAAAGACAAACCCAGGGTTCAAAGGGTGATTGTGGGGTGAGAACTTCTGGGAAGGGAGAGCAGTCCCGAGAAAGGACTTCACAGAAAGAGTCAGAGCATGACCACGTGCTTAAGTGCAGAATATTCCTTATAACCCAAGGCAGACACCGAGCATCCCTGCCAGAGAAGCTGCAGCCCATCCACCCAGAATGAGAGGGGAGATGCTGACCTTGCACAGGGTGTCCTACCCACAGGCAGTCAGCTGGCCCCAAATCCTTCCCTGCAGGTGCCTGCTGCTCTAGGCGCTCCCTGTGCCCAGCGCTGACTTCGGAGCCGCTCCAGGTCGAGCTTTAGGCAGGCAGGAATTAGTCACATCCAGGGGGACAGCACTGCTGTGTTTCAGTGTGGCGTTTCTCCTGCCCCAGGTTTAACGACGAGGAGGTCTGCATGTGCCCGCAGGTGTCTGTCCCACAGCAGTTTGATTCTGTCCCCTGGAACACGTTCAACAGAGATGTGCTAAAATCCCTCTACGGCTTCGCTCCGATCTCCATGCACTGCAACAAATCCTCCGCCGTCCGGTTCCCGGTATGTAGAGCTTCAATCCCAAGGCTTCCCAACAAAACTCCCAGCTGTAGGTAAAGAGCAGCTTGGCAGAGCTGTGGGAAGGTCTGTGCCAAGCACATGGGTCAGGTGTCCAGTGCTCAGGACACATCTAACACCCAGGGGGCTCAGGGCAGGGAGCTGGAGCTGCCAGGACACAGAGTCCAGCGCCAGTGCTTAAACAATCTGTCCAGAGCCCACCATGGATGATCCCAGCCAGACTTAATTAGGAGATGCATTTGCATAAAATGATTTGGAGGCTGCTTTTGCTGAGCGTTGAAGTAGGGCCGGCTCCAGATCCAAGGAGAAACGTGAGGTGGTTTTTAGGATTCTGGCAAATCACATCAGGTCCCAGCAGAGCGAGCTCATTAGGCACAGCATCTGTGCAGGCTCCAAATGTGGCGATCCAGCAAAACGTGAAGGATACAGGACTGTGAGATCCTTAAAGGAAAAACAGGCCCAGTGATGAGGGACATAACGATGATGGCAATGAAGATTTAAAACCCTTCATGGCCTCATCTCCCAGTGCCATTTATCAGTGTAATAAACTTAGATGATAGCCTATTCCTGGATCCAGGGATATCCACTGCAGCACAGGAGGATGCCAAGCTGACTGCAGGGATGACCATCAGCTTTCTGCCCCAGTAAACTCCCTTCAACAAAGTCCACCCTGGAGTGGTCAGAAACCTTTCCAGTTTCCTGGAACTGAAGACCCAGCACCTCTCAGCCGTGCAGAGGACAGAAGTGCAGAACAGTGGTGCAGAAGTTTTGTGCAGCAGGGGAATTATGAATTAAACCTCTTCATTACAGTTCAGACAACTCTCTTGATTTCAGAGAGGTCTGGGGGCTTCTGGGAAGGGACTCGAGCAGAGCAGAGCCAATGCTGGCACAAAGTGGGTCACGGGCACCACAGCTAGGGAGAAGGAACTGAGCTGCCTCCCTGCTCTGCTGGTGCTTCAGAGCGAGCCCAACCTTGAGACATCTCATTTATTCCATACTGTTTCTGCCAAGAGAAAAGCACCAGCTTCTAATTAAGCTCATGTTTTTGCAGTTCAGTGATCCCAAATCTGATGATTTCTGGAAGGAACTAAGTGCTGTTAATTATCAAGCAAAATCTCAAGGTACCACTTGTGAGAGGCAGCAGGGATGATGCCATCCCCAAGTCCCCTGCACCCACAAGGGCTCACAGTAAACTCCCTTTATTCAGATTTCCACTTGAAAGCACTGAAAACAACAACTATCAAGACACTCCAAGTGCCTTTGATCCATATGAAAAGCAGGCACGGGGTTTGGGATGTATCAGCAGGGCATACGCTGCAGCAGATGGGTTCAGGACTGGAGCCGAGCCCTGGAGCAGATGCACCCTAAACATCCTTAACTGCTCCCCTAAGCTAGAAGGGTACAGGAAAATAGTTGTTTCTCCAGCTGGTGCTCCCCTGCAATGCTCTCCCCTCTCTGGTTGCTCCCCAGGAGCTTTGGAAGGCTCCCTCCATCCCACTCCATCTTTCCCCAGGGTTTTCCTGGTGCTGGTGCAGGCTCTGGCCTGTTTCGCTTGACATACCACAAGAAATTTTGGCTGAAAACATAAATTCAACTTTCATCTTGCTGATGACTCACAGCTCTACCTCTGCTCTCCAGACCTCCCTCCTCCTGCTCACGCTGCGGCTCAGCCTCTCGCTGACATTTCCGCATGAGCACGCAGCCAGCAGCCAAACTGCAGCATCACCAAACCAGAGCTGAGCCCCACTTTGCCCTCACAGCCCCTGCCCACATCTCCACTGGCCACTAACCCAGACCAACACGTCACATCTGAGTCAGATCCTGCTCGGCGGGCTCAGCCCTCGGCACTGCCTGGACCTGGCAGATTGCTCTGTGCAGGGAACATCCCCGAGACAAGGTGTCTCCTCACATGCACAGAGCTGGAGGTTTTGTCCTGGTCGTGGTCACCCTGAGCCCTGATGGCTGTGACAGCCCTTCCCCAGCTCTGCCACACGGCACCTCATCCAGGCTGCTGCATCCCTCCTGCTCTGCAGCAGCTGCACAGGAATGTCCATGCTGGAACACTGTAAATTCCTGCCAATTTTTGGTGGAGAGTCTTTTTCAGAGCATGGTGGTGCCTGTGGGACTCTCTGGTTTGAGTTGCCTCCATCAGATTTGGTGGGTAACGCTTTTTGGGGTGGAAACATCCTAATTGTGGTGGGTTTGTGAAACACGGTGCACTGCAGACGTCTGCGCCGCTAAGGGGATGTGTAGGTGCTCCTGTAAAATGAAGAATTAGTAATATGAATAATTAGTAGCATCTCATAAGAAAACATCCTGATTTTGGCTGAAAACACTTCAAATATTAAAGCACATTGGAGAGATGGGGAGAAACACCAAGTCTCCAAGTACCTGAGACTTGGTCTCACGGTGCCAAACTCTCTTGCAGGGCGAGTGGGAGAAGCAGCCGCTCCCCACCATCACCGAGAGGCTGCAGGAGCCTGTCCCCCACTGCCCGCCTGCCCCAGGGTCTCAGCCTGCTGCCCCCATCCCCCTCAACCTGGGCCAGCTCAGGAGGGACTGACACGATGCCTCGTTCCTTCCATCACGATGGGAAGTGCCTCCGGGCAGGAGCATCCATGGGGAACATCCCGTCGCTGTCCCCGTGTCCTGCCCACACAGCGATGCCAACTGGTGCCCGGGTCCCTGCAGGGGGCTTGGGGCTCATGAGCTAGAGTTCAGAAAGTACCCTGGAGATGGAAAGTGCTATATTTAGTGTGTTATTAGCAATCCTGGCTCTGAGTAATGCTGCTTTCCACCCCCGGAATAAGAATGTGGAGGTGTGCTATTGTGCTAAACCCAGCGTGGCCCCAGGGAGTGGGGGGAGAACCTTGTTTTCCCACAGGGAAATTGAGGCATGGACATGTGTGGGAGCAGCATACAAGCCCTGCAGTGCCCCGTGGTCCCTTTTAGCTCAGGATGGCTCCACAGGTGCTCTCCCACCCTGCCAGCCATGGTGGGGATGGAGGGAGGGATGCCATGATGCCCACCTGACACTCACCTCCCCTCTACAAGGACTGCAGCTGCCCACCATGCTCCTTCCCCCACTCCCCCATGCTGGGGGTTATTCCTCTCCATGCCACCAGATGCCAATGGCTGGGAACAAATGATACCTCTGGGATAGGGTTTAGAAAGGGGGAGGGATGGGATGGGGAGGCACGGTGGGGAGGGGAATGACAGATCTTTTGTCAGGAAAAAATTACTCCATTAAATATCTAAATGTAAAATAAATTGCTTTTTGCTGTTGAGCTCCAAGGGGAGAACGCTCAGGAGGAGCAAAGGGAAGACTGGAGGTGAGGCAGGAGAGATCATGTCCATCCCAGCTGAGTTTCTGCCCTTGCTGCCCCGGGGCAGGTGGGATCCAGGCCAGGTGGCCCCCAAAATTCACCCTCACAGCCACCTTGAGTGTAAGGGAAATCTCAGGACAGAGCACTGCACATCAGAAAGGCCTTTTAAAAGCAAAACGTGATCTTCCATGCACAGAGTGGATCCCTGGCTTGGCAGGGAGGCAGCATGCTCCTTCCCCCAGGACAGGACTGTGGCCACCCCCTCCTCTGCCCTCCACCTGCCAGAGGGAGGGCAATCGCCTCCTATTCAAGAGAAAAATTCATCTCAATCTTGTTTTTTAATGTTTTCAGTAAAACCAAAGCAATTTCAGAGTTCACGCTCTTGCCCGTAGCGCTTGTGGCACGAGGTTAAGGAATTGAAATCAGCTCTAAAGAGGGTACGAACCAAGCAAACCTAGTCAAGGGAAAGAAAAGGGGAAGAGCATGGAGTGAGATTATTTCTTCAGGCGGGTGAAACCTTCAGCAGAGATCAGGCCCTCGCTGTGCCAGGCAAAGGGAGCAGAGCAAGGGATAATTGTGGGGACAGGCTGGAAGTCGCTGACCCTTCCCTTGGGCAGCAGGGGGTTCATGGGATGCGTGCGTGTGATGGAAAACCTTCCCCGATGCCTCCGAGCCTGGCTCTGTGTGCCGGGGGCCGCAGGGCTGGCAGCACACGGCTCAGCCTCTGCAGGCAAAGCCCTCTCTGTCGGGAGCTGGAAGGAGCCACCTCCAAGGTGACCTTCGGGAAGATGCCAGCAGAGCAGAAGGGGTCTGCTGCTCTGCTGCCAGAGGATGGGGACAAGGTGTGGGTGCCCTGCCTGCCCATCTTACACCACAGCGCTCAGCTGGCCCTGCCTGTGTCGGGAGCAGCCCAGAGGTTGTGGCTGTGACATCCCTGGAAGTGCCCAAGGCCAGGTTGGACAGGGCTCGGGGCAACTTGGGCTAGTGGAAGGTGTCCCTGCCCATGGCAGGGGGGTGATCTTGAAGGTGCCTTCCAACCCAAAGCAGTCTGGGATTCCATGATTCTGTGACACATAAGCACAAACAGTACTGGTAGAGGAAAACCCTGCAGCAGACAGAGCATCCCCAGCATGAACCTGAGCAATAGCCCTGTGCCTCAGCCCCTTCCCTCCATATCCCCCACGAGTGTTCCCACCCCAGCTCGGGGTCCCCAGGCACAGCCAGAAGGTGACACCCCTTCAAGTGAGGACAGACACAGCAAGGGATCCAAGGTTCGTCAGGTTTGGAGGCTACAGCTGTATTAACAGCAGAGTTAGTTTAAAAAAAATTCATTTCCAGGCAGCGTGAAACTACATTTTGGGGGAAAGAGTTTCCAGCAAAGTCAAAAACTGAAACCACTTCATATGCAGTCAGACAAAACACTGTTTTCAGGGCAATTAACCCATGGAAAAGAATTATTGCTGCAGTGGCACTGCTTCACTTGGGAAACAGAGCAACAGAGTCTTTGGACTTTTTAGAATCTCTTCCTCTTCTCCCCTCCAATTCGACCCAAATTCGCTTGATAAGTTCGCTGCAGGCAGTTGCCTGGCTCTTCCATCTGACCCCGGAGCCAGCTGGGGCACCCAGGGGCCAGGAATTCTGCTGGCAGCTCCTCATGGGCTCTTCCTTCTCCCCACCCAGTGCCTGCAGCACCTGCTCAGTAAAAGCCCTTCACTCGCTTGTTGTCGGGGTCGAACGGGGACTTGGTGTGTGCTCGGGCGGGGTAGGTCACTCCCATCCTCTCCAGCTCGTAGCTGCCACTCTTCACGAAATCCAGTGAGACCTGTGGGGCAGAGCCATGCAGAAATCCCCATTAGGTGCTCCAGGGCACCAGCCCCCTGCCAGGATCCAAGCTCCATCCCTGGGCAAGCTCCCACCCTGTCCCACAGATCTGCTCTCCGCAGAAAACCCAGCCCTGCTGTTCCAAGAGGATGCACAGAGAGAAGGAAAATAGATGTTGAAAGCACTCTGTTAAAAAGAAAATAAATTATCAGTATTTTAAATTTTTAGTGGGTTTTTTTTTTTTTTTACTTGTGGAATTATACAATGGAAAGGAAAAAGAGAGTGGGAAAGGGAAAGGGAAAGGAACAACATTCACCATAGGGAGAAAAGGGGATTCCCAGGGGCAACTGGACCACAGAGCCACTTGAGCTGGGACTCTTGCACTGATGCAGGATTAAAAGTCAAGGCAAGCAAGAGGATGAAAGCATAAGCATATGCACTGCTCATGGCTGGCACAGAGAGGGTCCCTGGGGATGTCATCCCCAACCCTCCGTCCCCACATGGGTTCCTTGGCCTCTGACTACAGCACGCTGCTTAATGAGGGCATCTGGTTGACTATCCAGGAGTCTCCCAGGCTTAATTAAGAGCCTGCTCTGCTCCTATTGGACATTGCTCCCTATAACGTAAGTTAATTCACTACTGCAATTAAACACTCTGTTGCAATTAACATCCAAGGCAGCGCTGGGGCCAGAGAGCGTTGCTGGGACCTCGCAGAGTGACAGCAGGTGAGACTGACCTTGTCACTGAGCTGTGACATCCCTCACGCTCCAGTGACATCCCTCACTCTCCAGTGACATCCCTCACCCTCCAGTGACATCCCTCACTCTCCAGTGACATCCCTCACACTCCGTCCTCCACGGGGGAAGCACAGGGGAGCTGTTGCCCCATCTCACACCCCAGATGACAGCAATGAAGCCTATGGCTTCAAACCAAACCAGCACAGCCATCCCCAGAGGGTCTGTACTCACTGGGCCCCCCTCAGGGTCACGGATGTAGCCATAGGCGATGGTTTTGTCGATGGCAAATCCAAAGTCTGCCCGACGGATGTGGCCGACCACCTTGCCGTCCCTCCAGACCGCCTCCAGGCCGAACATCGGCACCTTCCTGCGAGGGGAAGGCAGAGCTGCCATCAGCAAAGCCCCACATCGGTCCCCCACAGGTCAGAGGGGTCTGGGGAGACCAGAGCCCACCTCTACCCCATTGCCCACAGGTCCACGAACCTCCCTGTGCTCAACCCAGGCACTGGCGAAGTCCCTGCAGCCCAATTTGCACAACCTCCTGCTGCTCTGGGTGAAACAGGACCAACCCACTCCCCGTCACGCCGCTTCCAGCTCCCATTAAAGCATCCAGCAGGGAATTTGCGGTGGGATTTAAATTAGAGGTGGAACTGGAGCATGGAAAACAGCTGAGCTGGCTCGCAACCGAGCCCCAGATGGGTGTGTGTGTCTCTCTGTGTGTCTGTGTGCACCACTTGTGTATGTGCACACGGGGTGGGTGGGGATGGGGAGGGTGCTGGTCCTGGTGCTGGGGCCCAGCAGTGGAACTCACTCGTCCGTGGTGAAGCAGACGAGGCGGCGGAAGATGCCCTTGGCTTTCTGGGCCTCCACAGCCTCCCGGCCCAGGAAGGGGATGCTGGACTTGAGCTTGCAGGTGAAGGCTAAGCCGGCTTCGAGCGGGGTGTCGTCGGTGCGCAGGTCTGCGTGCCAGTGCCTGTACCCTGCGGGGAGCAAGCAGGGGGTCAGCCAGGTGATCTCTGCCAGGGTGGGCAGTATGAGGGGGCCAAGACATCACCCCTGCCTCCTGGACACCCCCGTCACCCTTCATTCACTGGGCCCTGGACAAAGTACCCTTGAGAGGAGCCCATATCTGGGAAATCACAGCACACAGCACTGGGACCGGTAGCATCTCTGCACCACTAGCCCGCCCTTAAAGCTGGGGAAAAGCTCTTTGCCCTGATCCCCTCACTGGAGGAAAAGCAGTGAGTGCTGCTGTAAGGAAAGCAAGGCACCTTTCTCGATGCTGAGGCTGTCGATGGCTCTGTAGCCGGCGTTGGTGATGCCGTGCCGGGCCCCCGCCTGCATCACCGCCCGGTAAACCTTCACACAGTCTGCCTTGGGCACGTGCAGCTCCCAGCCCATCTCGCCCACAAACGACAACCTCATGGCACGGACCTGTAAACGCAAGAGGACAAACATCTCTGAGACAGAGCCGGGCTGTGCAGGGTGGGAGAGGCTGCAGAGACACATTCCCCCATGTCGGGGGGAAAGCTGGCTTGCCTGGGCACCCTGTTGGCATCTCGTGGTGGAAGGCAGTTCTGTGTTCTTTCTAAGGCAGAGTCAGGCTGAATTTCCCATCTGTGCACAGCCTAAGTCAGCACCTCAAACCCAGCTACCATCAGTGCCCAGGAGGGATGGGCAGTGGGCAGAGGTGGCTCTGTCAGCACCCCTGGCCACTGATGGCAGGGCTGTTGCAGGCAGCCCGGCTGGGGTTAGATGTGATGCTCCAGCTCCAGCCGAGCTTTTGTCTCCCTCTGCTGATCCATTGAGATGGGAAAGCTGGTCCCCAGCAGGCCTGTCCTGCTCTGGGGCACTTCACGGCTGCTGTTCCCCAGGGATTTCCCAGCTTGGGGTGGTGCACCCACAGCAAAGGCACCCAAAGGCTCCCAGACAGGGGTTTAGCCCAGTGTCCCGACCCACATCCCACTCATCCCAGGGAGATGCTCAAGTTTTCCCCCACGGAGGTTGTGCCCTAAAGCAGTTCTGCCAAATTAGCTCCACACTGAATGCATGAAGCTCCAAAGAGGAATGAGCAGATCAACACAGGGGACCCCGTGCTTCTCTGGGGAGACCTCATCCTCGGTGATGGAGCCTGCTTGCACTCCCAGGGGAGCAGACCATGCTGGGACTGCCCTGCCCATGTTCCCCAGCTTCTCACCCAGGCAAGCTTGCCTGCATCCTCCTGTTGTCCCTATGAAACAGTCTGCATTCCCAAAGCTTTCCAGGCCAGTTGGGGCCATTCTGATTCAGGCATCTTCCCTGGAGACAGCCCTTGAGTCTGAGCTGCATTTCCCTCTGATTCATCCCATGGTATTTCTTCACTTCCTCCCCCACACAACCCCTCTGTTTTATCCCTTTGTATGCACATCAACTGCAAGTGCATAGTCGGCTTCGGGAGACAGATCAACTCCAGAGCTGCACCACAGATCGTGAGCTGTGAGTCTTAACTCACAGTTTTCAGAGCAGTTTTCAGCTTGGAAGAGACTTCCTGTTGGTTGGACACACTCCACAGCCTTGGGGCTGGCTTGCCCATGCTGGCTCCGGGTGTCATTGGGGCAGAAGCTGCATTTTGCCATTTGCTGAGCTCTTTCTACAACCAGAGCTGGTCCCAGCTGTGCTCTCTAATCCCAGGTACAAACAACAACAGACAACAGCAGATGCTGCCCAAAACAGGCAGAATTGCCAGAGGGATGCCTGGGCTCTCTGCTGCAAGGATGGCCAGAGGGAACCCAAATCTATTCCTGCTTCCCCTAATATCCCCCTGCAACAATAATGCCCTCAAACAGAGTTTAAGGCAGCTTGTAAGAAGACTTAACCTTTACAATAGGAGTGGAGAGAAGGAAGGAACCCATAGATATTGAGAACTTATTTTGAGCCTCCTCCCAACGAGCCATGCCAGGAGCCAGCACTCCCCTGGTCCCCGCAGAGAGGCACAAAGGCTGGCAATCACTCCTCCAGGTGCACACACACAAGGGGTGCAGAGAAGAATTTTTCCTCTACACAAAGGTGTCATCTAATTAGGGAACAGCCAGAGATCAAGCTGCTGCAGCCAGCTTCCATCTTCTCTGCGGCAGGAGATGCTCTGGGGACTGACAGGCAACTTCCCGGCTCATTAACCCCGTCTGCGACTGCAGCTGAAGTGCACTTTACTATCAAGAGCAAGTTACTGCTGGGAGAAACTTCCCCTCAAACCACTGCTGCTCTGGGTGAGCAAGCATCCCAGCAGAAAAACAGGTATCCTTGGAAAATCGGGGTGCCAGTCATTAGCTTTGCACAGGCAGGGGTTGAGGTTGCCCCCACACCTGTGTGTCCCAGTCAGGGTCCACATCCCACCACAGAGGCCGAGGGTGATGCCAAGGGCTGGGCTCAGCTGCTCCTGGGGCTTTCTGCTGAATTCCCCTAGGAACAGGTTTTTCTGTTAGATAGCAGCCGGAGCTATGGAACAGCATCAGCTCCTGGGTTTTTGAGCAGCAATTCAAAAGCATTCTAGAAAATGAAAACCTGAACTTTACCCTGTATCCAGCAGTGAAATTCAAAGGGGGACCTTTCTCTGCTGTTCAGTACAATGAGAGACGCTATATATAAACTCACAAACCAGTAGGTAATTTCCAGAGTCATTAACTCTGCTGGAACTCTCCTTTCACTCCAGCTGATTTTGTTCAACTACTGAGTTAATGTATGAAAATCTCAGCGATAACTTTTTAAAGATATTGGGTTCAGTTTAATCCCCCCGGAAGGCGATAATATCAGCAAAGGCTTCAGCCTGCTGTCCTGAGAAATCCTCCCACTCTAATTTCGGCGTGGGATGGAGTCCCTGGTGTTCATTGTTCAGTGGGGACCAAAGGAGACCTCCTGAAGGGTGGCCCTGGCAGCAGGAAGGGAGTCTCCCCCCTCCCCATCCCACACCAGTTCTGACAGTCAGGGAATTTGCTCTCAGAAGAAGATACAAAATTTCTACCAGCTATTTTTTCCTCACAGGACAGGATTACTTTTTCATAAACTTGAAGAGAAATGCAAATAAACTAATCACACCCTTGGAGAACAGGAACATTTATACACCTTTCCTAGGGGATAAGGAGATTATTATGAGATGATATCAGCTTGCTACAGCCGTGACAAGGGAGGATGTAGGGAGGATTAAAACTCATCAGTGGGGGCTAAAATTCAACATTTCGGACAACCTGCATCAATGAACAGTCCCCCAGGCCACTGTTCCCCCGCTCAAAGGGACACTGGACTCACTGACCAGTGCACACTGGTACTGATGGTTTGGAGGATTAATCTGACTTGGGCAAAATCTGTGACTCACTTAAACCACCCTAAACCCTGGCCAGGCTCTTGCTCACAAATCAAGAAGCCCTAATTTGATTTAGCAGCAATCCCTTCAGCAGCCAGCTGCAGTCGAATTAAAGCCACTCTAACTCTGAATGAAAAGTGGCTGCACGTGGCTTAACCCAATTTCACTAATATCCAACCTGCCTCCAGCTCCCAGCTTTCCTGCTGCCTTTGACAAGATTTACTGCTGCACCTTCACCTCCTTCATCCCCCACCAGGCACAGGCACGAGAGCCAGAGTGAGAGCTCGGCATGGCCCCTCCTGCCATCCAGCCCCTCCAGAGGGAAAGAGATACCCCAGGACCACGGCTTGCCCAGATTTCCCATGGGAAGGATGGGGTACAAACTCAACCTTCTCTTCCAAAGGGTGTTTTTGCAACAAAAGGAATATTTCACATGGGATAAACATCAATGGAAAGGCAGAGCTTCCTGGGAAACCTAGCAAAAGCTTTTCCCTGGTACCTAAAACTTGCCAGCAGCAGGTTTTCCCAGGACATTCCTCTTTTGACAAAATGATACTTCTTGGTCACCAACTCTTCTATTTAGGGTGTTTCAAGCACGCTCAATCAGCAGCCTCACACATGACAGAAACTCCCCAAAGAGCTGCCATCACCTCCTTCCCCAGGGATAACTGTTGATGCATTGGCTGAGGTGGGAGGGGGATTTAAGGTGCTTTTCTCACTGCACCAGGTGAGATGGAGGAGTCCAACCAGGCAGACAGTGCTGTGAAACCTCCCAGCAAACCCCTGGAATCCCCTTCTTTGCAACACAGTCAACGACACCAAACCGCTTTAGGCTGAGCCTTCCTCCCTCGACACCTCTGAGTGACACCACCCATGGCTGCAGGTCCTGGAAGAGGTGCTGGGCTGCCAACCTGGGCAAGGTGTGTCTCCAGCAGCTTGCTGAGAACCCCCACCCGTGGGTCCCTACCAGGCACCCCAGCCAGGCAGAGCTGCTGCTCATCACCATCACTCCAAAGGGCTTCTTGTCCCCTCGCTCTGGCACTGAGGGGCTTCACCCGTGGCATTAGCATGGAGCAGCACCAGTGCTGAACTTCTCTCATCACAGCTGATGTGAGCCCTGAAGTCTGGGCAAATGCAGGATGATCTGTACTTGTACAGGAAGCTTAAGGCTGTCAGACTTCTCCTGTGATCAAACACGGCGGCTCCCTGGGCTGCCCAGCCCTTACTGCCAGTACCTGACATGCTTTACATTAAATCATCCCTTTTTCTGTTTTATGATTAGGGGGAAATGGAAAGTGTCTGGAGTGTCAGGTAAATCTCATCACCAGTGCTCACCCTAATCCATGGGAGGCATCTCTCATTCCTCTGCCATCACTGCAAAGCCATGAGTCACCATGTCCCTTCCCCAAGCTCAGCCCAGGCTGTGACACCACTGGGAGGTCTGAGAGAGCAGGCTGGCACCTGGCAGGCAGTCAGGGAGGGAAACATCCTGCTCCCACACTGGATTTTGGCCTTTTCCAACAAAAAACACACCAAAACGTCCCTGCAATAACGTGGAGGCAGACTGGTTCCCTAGCAGAGAATGTCCAGAGACTGGAATGGGTTGCCCAGAGAAGGTGTGGATGTCCCATCCCATCAAGGCCAGGTTGGACAGGGTTTGGAGCAACCTGGTCTAGTGGAAGGTGTCCCTGCTCACAGCAGGGAGGTTGGAACGAGATGGGCTTTAGTGTCCTTTCCAACCCCAGCCAATCTGTGATTCTAGGCTTGGCTGCACAGGCTGGTGGGTGTTCCCTGAGGAGCTCAAGGGCTCCATCCTACCGTGCATCCTGCAGCTGTGGTGATTTTGTGGGTGGAGAAGGGGAAGGCCTCGTTGCTGAGGTCGGTGTCCAGCACTTCTTGGAGGACGACGCGGCTGCGGGGAAACAGCAAAGTGGGTGGGGTGAAAGGACAGCTGAAAGGACACAAGGTTATCCCTAAAACCTGCTCTCTCATCCTGTCAGCAGGACAGACTTCTCACTCCAAGGAGGAGCTGATGTGGGTGGTGTGCAAATGATGTCAGGGCCTCAAAAGAAATTTCAGTTCCCGGAAAATAGAGCTTTACTCCATCACCTATTGCCATGGGGATCACACCTAGCCCTGCCCAACATGGGGACCTGTATCTTGAGACATCCCTCCCTCCCTGCATCCCTCCATGCTCAGGTTCTCCCCACGCTCACCTCAGAGGGCCCTGGATGCTCATCATGCCCAGCTCCTCCGAGCAGTCGAGGAGTTTGCACTGGAGCTTCATGTCCTGCAGCACAGAGGTGATGTGGGACCAGTTGTGCTGGGCCACGGCCCCACCGATAGCCAGGTAGTATCCATCCCCTGGAAGACACCCCCAGCAGCCTTTCAGGGTCAGGAGCACTGGGATGGGAGCAATGCCCAGCTCAGCTCCAGGCTGGTTTTGCTTTCCAGAGCCTGAGGTGGCACACTGAGCCTCTCCAGCATGCACAGAGCAGGGGGGTTAAATGGTTCTGGGGCAAGGGAGGCTTTACTGCCTTTTGTGGGGCTCACCATAGTGAAAGCCATCAAAACCCCAAAGAAGAAAACGTATAAAAAAGCTGTTTGAAACCTGGAGGTGCCTGTGTGTGTGTGAACATCACAGGAAGGGAAAAAACCTCCTTGTCCCTAGAGACCAAGAGCAAAAGCATTTGCACATTTGTCCCTGTACAGAACAGACCCTTAAGTGTGAAGGGAAATGAGAGCCACAGGTGGAATCAGGGAATACTACAGCGACAGAGCCATAACCAGTGCAGGGGCTGTACTGTACACAAGGAGGAATTTCATCTCGTTGCTAATCCTGGGTGGAAAAATCCCCAAGGATGGTGTTTGAGAGCTGATTAATATGTAATCAATCTTCCCTCTGTCTTTCCTGCCACTACAAAATTGCTCTTTGATAATCTGTCATAATGATAATAAGTGCAGCCACCTACTGTAATTGGAAAAAAAGAAGACTTTGCTGTGATTAAACTCCTCCATCGCCCGACAAAAACCCTGCAGCTCTGCCATCCACTTCCCATCACCCTTCTGCGAGGCCCCAGACGAGAGGGAAGGAGGATGGAAGATCTCACTGGCACCCCATGCTCCTGGGGCAAAGGGGGTGAGCTTGCCCCCACAGCATGTCTAAAGGTGACAGAGTGTGGGGACAGGGCTCTGTGGGCACAAATGCACACCCCTGTCTGGTGGCAGCCCCGGTGCCTGGCTGTGCTGCTGGAGCCCAGCTCAGCCTCCTCCTCCTCCTCCTCCTCTGCTGCCTAATGCCATTTCTGCCCTCTGGGCTGCTCTGCTCCCTTTCAATTCCTCTTTATTGCAGCTGATAAGGACTCGGACAGAGGTCAGAGCCGCCAGCCAGGGTTGGACAAACCCAATAACACCGATGAGCAGCGCAGGGCCCTGGGGACAGGGGCGATAATCAGGTTACAGGGACCGAAGGACAGAGGTGGAAAAAGCCAGGTGGCTGCCATTAGGGAAATGCAATAACCCCCACGCCTGCAGCCCCTCCAGCGTGGCAGGGATGGAGGAGATGCTGGAACAAACCTGCCACCGTGGCTTCCTGGAACTGGAAAGGTGTTTGAGTGGAAAATGCAGCGGGAGAGGCCGGGAGCTGAGCTGCAGGAAGGTGAACCCAGCCAGTGCCTGCGGAAATGCTCCCACCTCCAGCACTGCCATGCTCGGGGTTTTACCTTCGAAGGCAGGGGCCAGGGGGGAGGCTGGGTCTCCAGGGCTGATCCTGCTGACGGTCAGGTCGCTCTCCACACCCCCCTGCTTGTTCAGCATGCAGGTGTACACGGTGGAGCCTGCGGGAAGGACACGGGCGCTGCTGCCCATCAGCCAGCCCGGCATGGAGCCGTGGCCCTGGCAGAGGCAGGTGGGTAGCAGGGAGATTTGTCCCCATCGTTCCATCAGCTGTCACTGCCTGACCGTGCCCTGATGGATCCTGGGGTGTCCCAGCACCAGGAGGGGGGGAAAGAAACTCTGTTTTTTCCTCTTTGCTGTGTGAGGAGCTGAATCTTCACCCTTGGAAATGCCATAAGCTGCCTCCCAGCCCCGGAGAAGGGAACAGCAAACCACAGCTGGAGAGAGTTGTGCTTGACTTACTCCAGTACCCATCACATCTCCAACTGTGATCCACAGCTGGAGCCAGAGGGCCAGACCCCCCTCCCTGCCCCGCCCCCAGCTCAGAGCACTGAGACTCTGTACAAAAAAGCAGAATCCAGTCTTGTGAAGACAGGGAAAGCAGACTTTCCCACATGCTTCCCATACCCTCTGCAAGAGCAGCATTCAGAATAAAAGCCTGTTTAGGCCCCCGTGGGGTTTTCTGGGGTGGGATTTCCCTGGCATGCAGCTGAAACGAGGGGCTGAGCCGGTACCTGGTGCTTTGCTCACGTCAGCACTGAACAGCCAGTTTGCTGCTTTTGTAGCTTCAGGTCCAACCAAGTAGAATTTCCCAAAATAAGACATGTCAAAGAGAGCCAGGGCATTTCTGCATGTTAAGCATTCATTCTTGATCTACAATTAAAGCAAACACAGCACCGAAGCTGAGCCTTGCTTTCACCCCACAAAGGGAAACACAAATTAAACCATTTATGTAATGGGAAATGATACCAGGACACTTGTCTGGTGCCTCTAAAGGCTGTAGAGCTTCAAAACATTCCTGAAAAAATCAAGTGTTAAATGGAGCAAGCCTGACAAGCGATCCTGTACGCTCAATCTCATTCCTTACCTCACTAACGCAGTGACAGTTACAATTAATAACAATTAAATTTTATCAAATTGATTTTTTTTTCCCCCCAAGCTGCTATCAACACTTTCTTTTAGGAAAGCAGCAGCATAATTCCTGTGACCCCTCCACCAAGGTTTCCGAGCACGGTCCACACATTTCTCTTAATCCTTTTGGAACGTTTTTCCCCAGTTTTAGGCGAAGCTTGCTGCCTCCCCTCCCTCTGAACCTCACCAACTCCACCCAGAGCAGGTTCTGCTGCCTCTGACCGCCCCAGTTCCAGATGTGCCCGGCAGTTTTGGCCAGGGGAGAGGCGGGGCTGTCACCCCTGGACTCACAACGTCGTGGTGAGGGGGGAAGTCGAAGGTGTACTCGTCGCCCAGCAGGCGGTTGTAGGTGTAATCCTTGTGGCGCTCCCGGCCGTACGCGCCGTAGTAATCGTAATCCAGGACCTGGGGGAAGAAGTGGGAGGATGGGGACAGTGAGGAAGATGATGTGAGGCTGAAGCCAAGGGTCTCCTAGTTATATTCATGCCACTCCAGAAGAGGAGTGGGTCCACGAAGGACGTGGTTGTGGTGATGGGTCCCCACCCCGGCATCCCTGCCTGTGGTGATGGTCCCCACCCCAGCATCCCTGCCCACTGCTTTCTTCAATATATCAGTACCTGCTGTCTGGGGGCATTGCAGGCAGATGCTGCCTGTGGCAGAGGGACAGGCAGACAGACAGACACAATATGCACACACAGATCTCCCTCTTTTTGCTGTTACAGTGAATTAAAGCCCGAAAGCTCTTATAGACCCTTTTTGGGGACGTGCAACTGCTGCAGCATATCACACACTGTGCACACAGGATGCATCCTACTTGCCCTGGGCACAGCTGGTACCCTGCAGGCTCAACACCCCCCAAAACACATGCCATGCTTACCGGGGCTGCACCCCCGGGGCTGAACCAGCCCGGCCTCTCCCAGCCATGCCGCTCCTGGAAAACACAGCCCTGTCGCAGCAGCTCCTACACAGGAGAAACGGGAACAAATGTTTTTAAAAAGCCTTGTCACTGTGTTTTGAGCAGCATCCAGGTTGCCCTCCTCAGGTGCAGCAGGTTCGTGCTCCAGATCAGACTTGTGACCCCTTGGTTTTGGCTATCAGCAGCCAAAATCAGCGCTGCCAGTTTGTCCTTTAAAACAGTGGCAAACTTGCCTGCAAATTGCCTGATTTTTATCCCCCACCCCACAAGAAGGATATTTGCCTCAAGGGTGGTCGAGAGGCAGCCCAGCTGTGCACCCCTAGAAAACTGTGCTGTGGTGCCCGAATTACTGACTGAGACATGCTACATCCACAGAGCAAGATTCCCCCTGATGTTCACAGAGTAATTATATAATAACATTTAAGATTTGTACAGCAACCTTCTCATTCCTCCTCTGTGCTCTCAGGAAAATCTCCCTGCACGCAATTAGTTAGGGATCCATTAAGATATTTTTGTTTGGGGCCTCTGTTCAGAAAAGAATAGATTTTGTTGAACATTTCAGAAAATGATTCAGTGCCTATTTATAAAACACAGCACATGTTCTGGAGCTGCATGGATAAATACCAGGCTGTCAGTCAAATGGGCATTGCTTATTAGACATGCTATTAAAAAATAAATTGCATCCTCAGTGACAGAAAACAACTGAGCTGTCAACCAAACACCGGGGGCTGGAGGGCAGGGATGTCTGTTTTACTGCTTGAGCCTCTGCTCTCCACTGGAAGAGGGATGGTGTGATACGAATCAGAGGCAGGCAGAAATGAGCTTGGGAAATGTGGCTGCTCCTTGCCAGGGCTGGGACTGGGGCTGGTGGTGGTGTGGTGGGACAAGACACTGATGCTGAGTCACTCCAAGCACCCTGGGGGTGCTGAGTGGTTTGGGAGGCTCTGAGCTGCAGTGGCTGAGGTGCTGCAGGTGCTGCAAAATGCTGGAAACGGGGTTTTTCTCTCAAGTGCTACATCTAAAGGGTGCTCACCTACAGAGGTTTGTGCAAGGAAGTGGCTGGCAAAGGTAGGAGTAGGGGGGAGCCCTGGCTGGTGGCTTCAGGGAGTAAAACCACTTAGAGGGTGCTGGCAAAACCATCTCTGCAGAGGCACAGCTGCTCCCCACTCTTCCCACATCCCTCCTCATGTCCTGGCCTCTGTTTTGGGGAGAAGCTGCTGCTGAGTTGTGAGCAGGACATGGTGAGCAGTGGCAGGAGATTTATTCCTGTGAGCATTTGGCATCCTCAGCCCTGGCAGATGCCCCCGAGCTGGGCTGGCAGTGAATCGACTCAGCCTCTGAACTCTTGTCTCCACTTTTCCCTTGCCCAGTGGTCATCACTGAGCTCTTAAGCCATTTTGCCAAGTTAAATATTAAAGGAAAGCCTGGCATCTCTACCATTAAACTGCTCATGGCCCCAGCACCCTCACAGTGTGCACTCAGCGACCTTTGGGATGGGCAGGGATCTCCCCAGGATGGATGGATGGATGGATGGGAGCACAGATGCAGCACGACGCGCTGGGGAGCGATACAGCTGCAGCCACTCCTTGTGACCTCTTTCTTTTGCTGCAGGGAGGCTGTGAGAGTCTCCCATGGCAAGATGCCCTCACCTCGTGCAGGGGGTCCTTCCTCATGTTGCGCCCTGCCAGTGGCTCGTCGTAGGGGAAGACGACGGAGTAGTTCTTGGCGTAGGACTCGTGGCTCCGCTCCCGGATCCAGCGGTTGTTGTCGGTGAGGGAGTGATGGAACCTCCTGGAAGGCAGGGAGAGAGCAGCGTCCCTATGGGCCCAGCAGCTCCTGAGGTGCCTCCTCTTGACCAGACCCAGATGTGGATGCAGCTGCTGAGGTGTAAAAATTGCCATTTCCTGCACCAGTTTCACGGGTAGGAGAGCAGAGGAACCAAGCAGGGCTTGGTGCCAGCCATGCCACAGTGCTGGCCATCAGAGCCAGTGCCCCTATCCAGCTCCCAGCCTTACCCCAGAGCAACTGGGAGCAGAATACACCCCTTCTGGAGGGGGGAAATAGAAAAAAAAAATGAAACTTGAGATTAATTCTGCCCTGCCAGCCTCAGAGCACACTCTGGGTTCAAACGCAGCCCAACGAGGGAATGAGCCCTGGACATTCTTTACATTTTTCATCCAATTCTCCCAGGGCTAAAATATAAATAAAACCCAAATCATTTTAAATTCGTTTGACATATTTTCATCTTTCAAACAGAAAAGCTCCTTGAAGGAATGTGCCAGCTCAGCACACGCTCAGGTTGTTGTTACCAGAGACCTATAACTCATGGAGAGCAGCCCTGGGCACTGTGGCACCTTTCCCAGAGCTGGAGAAAGAGAGGCAGGCAGGGGATGAAAGGCAAGACAAAATGTCATTTCTAGGGTCTTTTAAAATGATACTTTGAGCTTCCCTCCCCACTGCCTGGGTTCAGAGGAGAGGCAGGGCACCAGGGCTGAGCTCTGCAAGAAATGCAAGTGATGCTCCCCCAAAGCACCCATGGGCTCTCTGTGAGAGCAGCTGCCTCTTCTGCTGTCAAGGGACAAGCAGAAGGTGACACATGGCATGTCAGTGGCACCCTTGGTTGCCCCATCAGTCCCAGCCCCTCCACCAACATGCTGAATTTTTGACAGCAGCAAGTGGGCAACAGCTGCCAGATGAAATATTTACAAGCGAGTGTTTTGAGAGGATAAATATTGAAATGTGCAGAAAAGGGAGTTATTTAAAGAGGAGCTTAGCAATCATCAGCCAAAGGAAAAAAAATGGGACTGACAGCTTGATGGCAGGGCAGATGTGATATGGGGGATGCTCCATCCAGGTGCAAGGCATGGAGAGACCCCAGCTGCTCTAAGCAGGGCTGGGGTCACCCTGAAAGGGCTGTGGTGGTGCCAATCCAGTGCCTGTCCAACCTGGGGATTTCTCCATCACTCCAATCACTATCCCAAGCCCAGCTGCTAAAGGAAGGGAGCTGGAGGCATCTCCCACTGATCTCTGCAGGCCCCAACACCCCACTCCCCCAGCCTGAATCAGAGGGGGCATTTACAGCTTTACCACTAAAGCAACAGCATTTTCAAAGCTTTGTCCCCAGCAAGGTGGGGACAGCCTGTAAGAGAGCTGTAAGCCCTGTAAGAAAGCCCAGACCCAATCAAAGACAATCAAGCAAGTCAAGAGCAATTACTGAGCCAACATCTGCACAGTCAAAACTCTCGGCCCGTGTGGTGCTGCGGAGGGGGGCAAAGCTAATCTTTCTGCTGTTGAAATCATCCCCCCCGATTATTAACTTAGAGGATTAGGCACGGCACTAATTGAACAACAACAAAACCCAAACGTAATTAGCCCGTCCTTCCCCATCACCGCAATCTCCTTGTGCCTGATGGAAGCCGCTTGCGTGGAAGTGGAATGAGGCGGAGGAGATAAAGCCCCTGTGTAAATTCATTAAAGCCACTGCGTGTAATTGATTCCAGCTCCTTGGAGGGACACAGGCGGTGGTGCAGATGCTGCCAGGACACCCACTCCCGGTGCCAGCAGCCAGTCCTGCCTTGAAACTGTCCCCAGGGACCACCCAAGGATGGAGGGGTGCCGGTGAAGGAGACCTGGGACGGGCAGGGGGACTTGCCTGATGTCGTAGCCGTACATGTCCTTCTCCGGCCGCCCGTGGATGATCCAGTGAGCCAGTTCCTTCCCACAGCCGCCTCCCAGCATCATCCCTGGGGGAAGAGGAGAGGATACAGATGAGGCCAGAAGGCCAAGCATAGCTGTGGGTGTTGGGCTCTGCCTGGGATAAGATGCCCGAGGTGTGATTCCTCTGGGTCTCTCTTACCAGCGCTGTTGAAGCCACAGCCAAGGAAGAACCCTCGGACTTCTGGAGCTTCCCCCATGAGCGGTTTGTGGTCGGCTGTGAACGACTCTGCAAGACAGAAGGGATGTGCCAGTGAGGCCAGGACAGGCTTTTGGGGACACATCACACACTTCAGGAGCAGGTTTCATGGAGCTTCCTGTGCTGACCTCATCCTGCTCCCAAAGAGATCAGTGGGGCCAGAACTGGACCAACACCAAGCACTTCCCAGCTTGGGAGTTAGACTGAAAATTTGGGAAACAAAATGAATCCCCTAACAGAAGTTGCATGAGGCACTGTGAGAGCTCTTTCTGTCTCTCAGTCCCCCAGTCAAGGGGGCTGCACTGATCTGTTTGTTGCCTTTTCAATGTCTGAGCCACATTTCATGATGACTGTATTCCACCTTTATTGCCTTCTGCTGGGAAATCTCATGACTCTGAGCTACTTTGTTCAGCTGAGGGACTGCTGTTGATGTCTCCCCAGATTCCTGTGCTAATGATGTCTCCTGTTGCCAATGCTATTCCACAGGGCCATCAGCCACAGTCCCTGTGCAAATCCTCACTAAGGAGGACAGCAAAGCACCCTGACAGAGGGGTGCAATCCTCCTCTCTCTGTTTTATGGTGGTTCATCCATCCATGTGAAAGGAGAGGGGGAAGACTGAGAAGAGCCAGAATATTTCCACTGTCACCAGAGCAGCTCCTCATGTGCCAGTATCCCTGTACTGATACACCAGGTTACAAACTCACTAAAGTTAATGGAGCAACACCCAGAGCACCTCCCCTTCCTTCCAGCCCAGCTGACTTTGCCCTAGGATGGACAGTGAGGGCTCCCAGGGACCTTGGCACCGTTACCCACAGCAGAGAGGACAAGCCTTGGCTATTTGCTTCAGCCCAGCGTGACTCAGCTGTCACAGACTGCCGGTTTGAATCAAGAAGGAGGAAAGGAGGAGAGCTGACCCTTTGGAGATGACATTACTGCACTACAAAGGGTAGACATTCATCTACCAGAAGCCAGCTCTCCACCAGCTCTGCTCACATCGCAGTGTAATCAAACCAGCGGACCCAGGGCCAAGGTCTCCACCTTGTACACGTCGTGTTTGATCAGCCACGGGGCAGGAGATGTGCCCTACTTTCCCCTCATACAACCATAAGGGCCTCAAGGGTTTCCCTTTAAGTGCCTCTGGAAAAAGAGCTTTATTACAGTTTCTTTTTTAGCATATGGTGGATTTTAAGGCCAAACCAAGTGTGCAGGGCTCAGGCTCGATGGCTGGCATCACCTCCAGCTGCCACTGCAGCAATACTATGGCCTTTAACTCCACACCAGACAGCCTAGGATGTAAATCTAGGTGATTCTAATGTCACTGGCCCAGAACAAAGTAGCAAAAATAATTATATAAGGTAACACTTGGTAAAAAAATGGTCACTGCTTGAAAAAAATCTGCCCCTCAATTTTCCAGTCCAGTGGCCACAACAGTGGCTGTAAATCTGTGCTATTCACACGCAGACTGGACCAAGGCAAAAAGCTCCCCAGGGAAATTTTTTTAAAAGGTCAATTTAGATGATAAGAAATCTATAAGATTATAAGACATCTATAAGATTATAAGACATCTATAAGATTATAAGAAATTATAAGAAAGAAGATATTAACAATAAGGGTAGTGAGCCTCTGGCACAGGTTGCCCAGAGAAGCTGTGGCTGCTCCGTCTCTGGAAGTGCTCAAGGCCAGGTTGGATGGGTCTTGGAGTAACCTGGGCTAGTGGAAGATGTCCCTGCTCACGGCAGGGGGTTTGGAACTACATGACCTTTAAAGATCCATCCAACCCAAACCATTCTGTGAGTCTATGAATCTATGATTCTATTTCTCCACCCAGGCTAAGCCTGGAATGCCACTCCTTGGAAGATGACACCACTGCGGCCAGACCACCAGCACTTTCTCTGCCTTTGGAGAGTTTTCCTTCTCCCCAGGTTATGAAGTTTCCCTTTGCCTCCTGGGTGGAACCCAGCCACTGTGGTGCCACCACAGCCACGTTACCTGGCCCACAGACAGTGGACTTAATGCCCGTTTTCTCCAGCACTGGTACTCTGTTGATGGCACCTTCGATGTGTTGCATGAAAACATCCCAATCCAGATCAAATAGGCCAAAAGCAAATTTTTCAGATACCTGAAGGTGGGAAACAGGAATCAGGACACAGAATAGTGTGCAGATGCTGCTGTAAGAACTTCTCAGCTCTGGCACCTGCACCTGGATAAAGGGATGATGCACAGGGCAGCGACTGCACAGTGGCCCCTGAATTTCCCCAGCCCAGCCTTTTCATCTCATTCCTGTTGCCTCTGTATTGCCTGTCTGTGCCCCAGACAGACCCAAAGGGAAGATGCTCTCCCGTGCTTTCCCCACCAGCCCCACAGAGGTTGGTACCCACAGAACCCAGGGGCTGAGGCCCTCATGCCTGCACCCATCCCTCTGAGGTGGGTTCCCTGGAAACCTGCCTTGTTCCCCCCGAAAACCTCCTGGCACTGCTCACCTTCTCCCAGAAGATGGGGTTTGACTCATATCCACCCACGGAAAGGGCATCACCTTGGAGACGGAGATAGACCGAGGCGTCATGATCGCGAACGTTTGGCATGTTCTAAAAAACGGGGAGAGAGGGGAGTGAGAACTATGGGGACACCCCTGCGTGAGATGGAGGTCCAGGACAGAGGGTGGGCACCTGCAGCAGTGACCTGCCGAGGATAGGAGCAGCAACAACTCCCTGGGTGTTCCCTCAGCCCTGAAATTTGGGTGCCCATGTTGACCCAAGAGGAAGGCGCCCAGCTCAGCTCCAGCAAAGCTGGTGAAACCACAGGCTTATGCAGACACGTGAGCAGCACTGGGGATGCTTGGGGGAGCCAGAGCAGCCCCCGTGGTTGATCCTAGCTCGGAAAACATCACTCCTCCGCCACCCGCCTCTGCAGGAGGAGGCAGCAGCTCAACACGCGGGCAGCAGTGCGCGAAGAATGAGGGATTTGTTCTGCTGAATAATGGATGGGGAAACATTTAGATAACATGGAAGTATTGCTGTAGGGCCTACTGCAATCCATGTTGACAAGTGGAATTAGGTGGATTGAACAAGAGGCACCGAGGTCTCTGCAAGCTGCAGCCTCTTCTCTGAAAAGTCTTTCTTTCTGTGCACAGCACGGTGGAGTTACTGGGATAGAAATGTGATCACAGACAGCACTTTTTACAGTGAGGCACCTCACACTGAAAGGTCAGACACAGACTGTGTCAGTGGGATGGAAACTAATTAATGTGTCACCTTCAAAGCGCTGGTGCCTGAGAGAATGAAGCCTCCTTCAACTCCTGAGCAATTCTCCGTAGCTGGACGGCAGGAACAGATTTTTTGGGACAGTTTAGAAATGCTTGGAGAGCTACACCTCTGCCTGCTGGGACTGGGGCTTGTTCAGAAAGTGTTTGGGAGCTTTATGAATGCTGTTATCAGACACCCAAGCACAGCAGAGATCCTATGACAATTCTACTGAGGAAAAAAAAAAGAAAAAAAAGAAGTATCTTGTGGGTTGTAACATTGTTAAATATTAACTCTGACTCCGTTCAAGGTGGTCTGACAGCCCTGCTAGGTGTGCACCCCCCCAGGCGCAGAGCCCAACCTGGCAGCATGTGCCCACGCTGAAGGTAGGAACAGAGTGGGGTCCCGCAGACCTGGAAGTCCCAGGAAAGGGGGCCTTTCCTGCCTCACCAGCACCTGTCCCCCAGGGCAGAGGAGCTGACCCGCAGCGCTGACCTGGATGCCCTCGATGCGCTCGGTCACCACGTAGGCGTGATGCATCCCCACCAGCGGCACGTGCACGCCGGCCAGCCGGCCCAGGGCTCGTGCCCACACACCTGCCGAGAGAGCAACCCCGTGCTGAGCCCCCATCCGTCCTCCACACCCCCCCAGAAAGCTGTCCTGCAGCCCACCCAGACCAGGGGACAAGGACTGCTGCAGACCTTCCGGCTCACGGGATGCCAAACCACCACCCGAGCCCTGCGGCCACAGCCCCCATCCCACAGCTCCCCCCGTGCCTGGCACCCTGTACCTGCACAGTTCACCACGCAGGGGGTCTGGATGGTCCCGTGGGCTGTCTCCACTGCATACACCCTCTTCACCCCGAAATCATCAGCTCTGACCTGGATGCCGGTGACCGGGCAGTTCTCAATGATCTGGTGGCACAGGAAGGGCAGCAGAGTCACGAGGGCAGGGGGACAACCCACCTCACCTGACATCCAGCCCCCAAACTGGGGGAAAAAATGATTCTAAGCAGTGGTCTGGCAATGGCCATCTCCCTGCCTTGAGTGTCTTGTCTCACTCCTAAAGGTCTTTTTTCCACCCCGTATTTTTCCTGGACCTCATGGTTTAAGATATCTGTGCCGGCTTTGTCACTGTGACCCAGCCAACAGGACAAGATCCTTCTTGGGAAAGATCTGATTCTGCAGGAGCAGTTCTGCCTTAGTGGGAAAGGAGATGGAGAAGGAGGGGATGAAATCTCCTCCCAGGATCAACAGGTATTAACGAGCAATTACTGAGAACTACCGTAGCTCCTCTGGCAGTTGCTGCTCTGGCAAGAGTTGAGCAGGTCCCAGCTGGATCCATGGTGCCATCCTTGGGGACGTACAGGGTGCCATACAGGTCATCAATGTTCATCAGTGGGTACAGGTCCTTAGTCTGTGATGGGGTCAGGACGTAGGACTCCACACCATACACCTTCCCCAGCTGCCAATGCACAAGAAAATGGGGAGCTGAAGCAGGAAACAAAAGCTTTGCTCATCACTTGCTGCTGGAGGAGGAGGCCCCCAGGACATGTTCATCTCCTGGTGAGGTAACTGCTGCATCAAAGCAAACCGTAAGTCCAGTGTGGGATGGGATGGTCTGGTCAGATTTCAGGGAATATGGCCCTATATTGCTGCCCATGCAGCTGGAAAAATGATGCTGCCACTACCTGAATGGTCAAAAATCCATGGCTGGATTTACTTCTGCTGACTTTGGAGCATTTTGCCAGATTTTGGCAGCCTTATGGAAGTCAGGAGGCTGCCCTGGAAGCACATTCAGGCCACTCCCAGTTCTCTGGGTGGGAAGGCAGCGAGGGATGGGACATTAGGAGACCAGGGGAACTCCCAGCCCCGCTCCCGAACAAGTGGCACCTCCTGCAGCCCACCCAGGTGGGGGACACACAGAGGGGCTTCTCCCTACCGACATGAGCCTTTTGTACTCGTCGAGGCGCTGCTTGTTGGAGGCGATGAAGAGCCCCCCGTTCTCCACCCAGCCCGTGTGCAGCCCCGTCTCCGCCGGCAGATCCCGGCTGACCACATCCCGTGTGTGCGCCAGCAGCTCCACCTCCACATCACTGGGACGCAGCTGCCACAGGAGACCTGGGGACACACACACACACAGCCCACGTGTGGGACAGGCGCTCCGTCACCCCTCCATCGCCCGGAGTGGGATGCAGAGGGAGCCCCGGGATCCCACGTGTGTCCCGCGTCACCCTGCGGGGCTCTTGCTCCATCTCGTGGATACGTGGGAGCGCTACAAACCATCGGTTTCTGTTTTCCCTGGGCATTAAATGAATGGGAAAAAGGAGAGTGGACTACCCCAGAAGTGACAAAACACTAAAGAGCTTATATAGCTCCTCCTCCCTGCCAAAGAAAAGTGGCTTAAAGAAGGAAAAGAAAAACTGTGGGAAAAAAATATTTCCTTTTCCTGTGGCCACATGAATTTAAAGAAAAAAAAATTAGAAATGATGAAATTCTGCATATTTAAAGCCCAAAGTCTCCAGCACATCCAGATGCAGCCTGTGCAACGGATTCACTCCATGGACAACGGCACATCTCAAATCATGGGCATCCCAGTGCCCACCCTGGGGAGCACCCACTCACCAGCTGTGTGCCAAGTGGTGCCCGAGGTCAGGCGGTCCCTCTCCAGCAGCACGACGTTGGTGACCCCCATCTTGGCCAGGTGATAGGTGGTCTGGCAGCCCAGGCTGCCCCCACCAACCACCACCACCTCGGCCGAGGATGGTGGGGGCCGGCTGGGCTCCCCACTCCCGGGGCCTTCCTCCTGCAGGGTCTTCTGGTACGGGACACTCTTCTTGGCCGTGGGCCCTGTGGCGCTGCTGAAGGGCCGGGGGCTCCTCCAGGGGGCTGGCAGGCGGGGGGCAGCTGCCCGCAAGGCACAGCTCACGTAGGACATCTCCACCTGCAGATTCCCAAAATCATCTCTCTGGCATGGGTCAGGATCCCCAGCCAGCCTGGCTGCTCACCTCACCACTGCTTCCGTGGGAGCAGCATCTCTGGGAGCTGAGCAGGGGCTGAACGAGCCCTGGGGCACGTCTGGGAAACAGAATCCCGGCTGCATATGTATGCAGCTCCCAAACAACCTTTGGAGGTCTCCCCTTAAAAAAAGGGGCTTGGGAATGCCCAGGGCACATCGACCCTGTGTTTGCTCAGGCCTCCAGAAACCACTTTTTTCCGCCCCCACCTGGAATTCAGGAGCTGTTTGGCCACGATGAAGGTGCCAGGTTTGCTCCCTATCAAAGAGTGGTGCAATGGCTGCTGGGGGTGGAAATGGGAACAGATCCTGCCTGCAGACATTGCAACCCCTGCGGACCCTGCATGCCAGTCCTGTTTGAGGACATGGCTCAGGATTCACTCCCGGCACACGGTTTTGGGGGCACAAAGGGGATCTCACAGGCCAGCCCTGTCCCAATCCCATATGAGCCTTGGCAAGGGGCTGTCCCATAGATCATCCCACTGAGACCCCCAGCTTGCTGCCACGTGGCCTCCAAAGCACTCACTATCCCCCCTACGGTCCCCCCACAGCCCAGCCAAGCTGTAAACTCCCACTCGGAAATCCCGTGACACCGCAGGAGTTTCCCGGACAGCCCACGGCACATTCCCACCAGGATCCACTCACCAGCGAGGCTCACTTGGGCTGACTTTCCCTGCTGCGATGGCCGTGGGGCCCCTGCCTTCCTCCGATGCTCTCCTCCTCCTCCTCGTCCTCCTCCTCCTCTTCCGTCCCTTCTGCCCCTGCTGCAAAAAATATTAACCAGCAACCGGAGGCGAGCAGAGCCAGCCTGGGAGGAAGGGAAAGAGGGGCTCCTTCGTACCCCTTCTCGTGGCTCAGCTGCTCCTCAACAAAGACAGAAAGTCCAGCAGGGAGGAGAAATTCAAAACAGGGAGGAAAATGCTGCTTTTCTCCCCGGCTCGGTGCCCAGCAGAGAACAAACAACCCAGCTGGGGCCAGGGGGACTCGCAGCCTCCCAGGCTCGCTCAGTGCTGGCTGGAGTCGTCAGCTGGATGCCAGAGAGCAAACACAACGAGGAAAGGCACCATCTGACCCTCCTGCCGCAGTTCCCAGCGGCTACACTTTAAGAGCAGAATTAAAATTAATTTACACATTTACTAAGCCAGACCCAAGAGCGCAACATGAAAGTGGGAACACACACAAAAAATTTTAATTTAGAGTGGGGTAGGGAAAATAAATGCTTGATTTAGATCTCTCAACCTGAAGGTTTATTGTTCCCCCTGCTCAGGACTCAGCCCTGGAATTAGGGCCTGTTTGGGCAGGATACACAAGCTCTCCTGAAGGGCCTCATTCTGGTATCTCAGAGAAGCAGAAGTTGGGGTGGAGTCGGGGTTTGCCTGGTGGTTGGGAGGGATCGGGGTCCCAGCAGCATTGTAGTCCCTCAGGCAGCATCACACCAGAGCCCTGAGCAGCCCAGGACTGGTGCTTTGGGGGGCTTTTACCATCCAGCAGCAACGTGACCCTAGGAAGTGCTCCCTACTGCCTCCCACCCATCCCACACCTCTGCTCTTCCCTGCTGAACACACTATGGTACCCAGCCTGCATCCAAATTTCTCCAGTTTGGAAAGGGTTTGAATAGGAGCAGAGGGGTTCACTTGTTCCAGTATTAGCCCATCTCCAGCAGCATTCCTCTCCTTCCCCCACATTTAAAACCAGTTTCTCAGTTTCAAAGAGGGCCCCAATTCCTCCAGACTTCTTTATGGACTAATTGCTCAGAATAACCACAGAGCTGCAAACAAGTCTAAACTCCTGTTTGCAGTAGGGTGTTTCTGTTTGACAGGCCAGAACCATTTCATCAGCGTGTCCTAATTATAAATATGACCTTTGGGTTAGACCAGACCTAGAACAATACAAGCCCAAGTCTGTGTTCAGCAGCAAGTCCTTCACTGAGCTCAGGACGGACAGTAGGGAAAGTGGCAGCTGCAACAGCCCCTCCAAGCCCTAATGTGACTCAGAGAAGGAACAAGGGTGGTTATTTTTTGTGATGGTCAATCCAATGTAGAGGGAGCTTATGCCAGTTTAATCTTCCGCTATAGTTTTTAGGTTAATTCTAAAATAAGGAGCACAGTGGTTCGTGTGCGCCAGCTGGAGTTTTCTAGGTCACAGAAAACATGGCTAATGCAGGGATGAGCCAGCTAGGAGTGCTGTGGAGCCACAGCCAGCAGTGCCTGTGCCATCCTCATCCTCATCCTCATCCCCACTGGAGCTGCATGGGCAGAGCTGTGCACTCACCTCTGCACCGCCACCTAAAATGGGGCTTGAGAAAGCATTACCAGGACATGACCCCAAGCCAGGAGCAGCTGGATCCCACACAGCCCTGCTGGGCAGAGCTTTTCTGAGCCCTCCTCTTGGCAACCCACCCCCTGCCTCAGTTTCCCCATCCTGACTGCAGAGCGGTTTGGCCCCTTGTTTTGGGATCCACTGGGCTGGGTGGCACGTGAGTTCAGCCCCAGCCGTGGCAGAGGGAGGTGGCCACACGCTGGCCGGGCACAGGTCACCCTGGCCACGGGGGCGTGCTCGAGGGCCAGCCCCAGGGCCACCACGGCTGGCTGTCACCCTGCAGGAGCAGGACCTGCCGTTCACAGAGGGCAGCCAGCAAAGCAACCACCTCCCCTGCCGTGTTTGCTCAGAGCTGGGCAAGCCTGGCTGATGGGGGGGGGGGGATTATGGCAGCAGCTGCTCTTGCTGGGGGGAAAATCACAGCAATAAATTAAACCCTGTGCCTGGTGCATCCCCCCCTCCTGGGGCAGGCTAGGGGCCGCAGGGGCTGGAGCCAGCTGTGCTGGCCACGGATGGAGATTTCTTCTCCTGTCAATGCCCCTGGAATGCTGCTCCTGGTCTGGTTACTGCACCTGGCCATGGCTGGGCATGGTGGATAAATGCCCCATTTATTCCTGAGGCATCAGACCTCGCATCAATGCAAACCCCAGGGGAGGGTTTGGGCACAAAGCCGAGGGAAGTCGCTGCTGAGGCGCCCACCTGCCACCTCCAACCATTCAAGGGTTAAATACCCCCAGCCCCTGGGCTGGCAGGGATGTTCCCAGAGGCAAGATGTCAAATAGAGGTAGATTTTTGCATTTACCAGCTCTTGGTTCCAGGTTCTAGTGTGCTGTGGCCACCTGATGGCGATGCCAGACCCACTCAGGGCCAGGCTGATGCTCAGCATCATCAGAAGAGCATCCAGGTACCAAAACCTGGTATTTCACACACGGTGTGTGATGGAGAACTCTTCTTACACTGAACAGCAACAGCAGGGAAGGAGATTATCACAGCTAGGGTCATCACCTGGACCAAGGGGAAATACCTGGTTGAGAAGCATCTTCCCTAAACAGCATCCAAAAATTAGTGCCCAGCTCATGTCCTGCTTCTCCATGTAAAACACATCCACTCTTTGCCCTTCCCGCTGATCCTGGGAAAAGTGAAGCACTGGAGACTCGAAGAGCAGGAAAAAAATTAATGTTCTTAATTAAAGGACATGGCAACTTACAGGGACAGAGCTCACAGGCAGCTCTGGGTGAAGCCTCCAGCAATGCCTCATGTATTTTATAACCAACTGTGTAACTTCTTTTAATGCTCTGGAATATGCTGCTGCCTGCAGGGCCAAGTGGCATTCTGGAATATGATATTCAGGAGTGATTAAAAGTCATAAAAAATTGTCCTCCTTCTCTCATCCTGCAGGGGTTCAGCTCAGACAGGGAGACAAGCCCCAGGAAAGGTGTCTGGATGGAGCAGAGGACAACTGCCTGGGTAGCAGCTGCTCCAGGAATGAGGTGAAGGAACCTGACAGGCAATGCAGGAGGGATCTACTCAGAGTTTTGGAAGGGCATGAACACTTATTGTTCACATCAGGAAGGATCCATCCCCCGACATGATCCCGAGCCCTCTGGCACAGCAAAAACCATGGCTGGGAAAAAAAAAAAACACAACCTATCAGCAAAATTACACTTTATTTTTTTCGTTGTGGAATTTGATGTATTGTAACTTAAAAAGGTCTGGAAAAACCACATGCAAAAGGGTTTCTAAGTAGCAGCTAAAGTTTCTATTCCAGCATTACAAGCTATTCCAAATGATTTCCAAATTCCCAGCTATAAACTATTTCATAAACAGTTTTATCTTTAAACCCCCTCCACCCTACCCCAGTTAGTGCAGTGCAAAGGAAAAAACCAAGGAATTTACATATTATTTTCCAACGTATCCCATTGCAATTTCGAATGATCCGCGATGAACTAAAATATATATACAATTTTCTCGCCATCATAAAAAAACATTTCCCTTTCTTATTCACAGATATATTTGTGGCAAATGGCTGAATAATTACTTACAAACAAAACAATCTTCTTTTTTTTTAACAAGTTTCTTACACCAGTAAACACAACAGGGAGATTTCTCTGGAGGGAAGGGGGGTTTGGCAGGGCTGGGAGGGCAGCGCAGGAAGAGGTTGGGGATCCCTTTGGGGCATGAGGGACAGAGGTGTCCTGGTCCCTGTGACAGGTACGTGCTCTCCCAGAGGGGATGACCTCACCACCTTACAAAATTGGCCACGTTAAAGGGGGGGTCTGTAAGGCTTTAGGATCTGAGGCATAGTATGAGCCATCGTCAGTTTGTCACGTGTGTGTGTGTGTCCCATCCACCCAAACGCGCCCTCAGCTCCAACACAGCTCCCAGAATGGGAACAGGGCATTGCCAGCTCTCCTCTAGGCTGAGCACCAAGGGGCTGGGAGGGGTTAGCACCAAACAGTACCTTGGGAAAGCCCTGAGCCCCCTCACATTCCCATCACCTCACCAAGCAAGACCCATGGTGGGCATCTGCCCCAGCCACACTCTGCTGAACCCACCCCACTGCCCTGTGGCACCCTGAGTGGGGGCACTCACAGAGCTCCTGGAGGGACAGGAAGCAAAATAGGGTGGCTCTGGGCTTGTCACAGAGCAGCAGCATGTAATTCCCAAGTTAACATCATTCCCTTGTCCTTGAGAGTCCCTAACTTCTATTTCTTATCCTGAGCATGGCACTGCTGCTCCATCTGGATGCTGCACAGGGCACCCCTGTGCCAGGGACCAAGGGCATCAGCACTGCTCATCCACCCAACGCTGGCATCTCCCAGACCTGCACCAGCACAGTGCCAAGACCCCACAGTGGGAACATGGCAGGACCACCACGAGTCCCAGGGGAACAAAGTCAGGGCATGGAAGCACCAGCTCAAAATGCTACGTATTCAGGGAAGCTGAAGGGCAGCACCTGGGGCTCAGATACAGGAAAGGTGTTCCCTGTCACACTCCCACACATGTATTGTTCATATTTGCCCTCTGGAAGGGAATTCTGGAGCTGGAGAGCGAAGCCAGTCCCCAGCAGAAGACAAGGGCTGGGATTTCCAGCCAGGCAACTCCATACTTTGGGAAGAACAGACTCAGACAGATGGTGCTCAGGACACAGGGGGAATGTCAAAACAGACGGACCTTTACTTGACAGCAGCAGCAGTAACAGCCTGTGGGAGGAAGAGAGGGGCAATGCTTGCAGCCCCCAAAAGTGCACACAGCTGGGAAGAAAGAGATGCTTTCACAACTCAGGGAGAGGAATCAGGAGTTGATACCGTAGCCCTTACTCAGGTGGGTTGGCCCTGAGCTCAGCGAGGTGGGACATTGTCGTGGCTGCAAGAAAAGTCAGCCTGGCTTGGGGGGGCTCCTGCTGGGAGGGAGAGGAGGACAGACCCAGGGACACACGCTCCTCTGCATGTACCTGGTGTCTTGGTGGCCTCCAAAGCCCTTGTGTGGCAAAGCACATCTCCAGTCCTGCAATGTGCTGAGACCTCCTGCTCTCACCAGTGGGACCAGTCTGCACCCTGGGCAGCCCCTTCCACCTGCAGCAAGGCTGCTGGGACTGAGGTGGTGGTAAAGAAAACAGGCTTGGGGATGCCAAAGCAGCTCTTTTCCCTCCTGTCTGATCTGAAGATCCACTTCCAGCCCACGTCTGATGGTCAAAACAGTTTCACAGCTGACATCCCTTCAGAGCCAAGCAACAGCCCTCTCCTCTGGGTGTCTCTGCCCTGCCCCTTGCCCTGCCCACAGCTGCCAGGGACACTGCCAAAATCCTGACCTGGGGAGCCCACCCGAGTGGTGTGGGCAGGGGGGCTGCATTGTCTCCTCGGGGCTGGATCGCTCCCTCCCCTTAGAAACCCCCCCAGTTCTCACCTTGGCACACCCAGGCACAAACCTTCAGCCTCACCCTCCCACCACCATCACCACAGTGGCTTTTAAAACACCTTTAAAAGAGAGGTGCAGACCCCCCAGAGTCTCTCAGCTCTGTCCATGCAGGGGGAGCGCGGCTCTCCCGGGACTCTTCCGCAGCTGCTACACCGACGTTATCCGACAGACCATCAATCTTCTATACACGGAACAGGAGCGGGGCCGGGGCGGCCCTGACATGTGCACACACACTGTACAGAGGAAGGATTGCTGAGGAGGCTGCGAGAGCAGTCCTGGGAGGCTCCTGGGAGGCGTCCGGCCGCGTCTCACGGGGAGCTGCGGGCGTCGGGACGGGCGTGCTCGGGCTGCAGCGGCTCTGGGCGCTCGACGACTTCCACCAAACATCCCCGCAGTCACTGCACCCCCTCCTCTTCCACGTACGTCGAGGGAAACCAGCCGACCTGTGGGGGATGCAGAGAGGTGAGCTGGAGTCCGGGGGGCTCAGAGATCACGACCCCAAGGCTGTCAGAAGTCAGGGGGTGTTTGGACAATGATCTCAGGCGCATGGTGGGATTGCTGTCGTTTTTAGGGCCAGGAGCTGAACTTTGATGAACCTTGTGGGTCTCTTCCAACTCAGGATGCTCTGTGGTTCTCTAAGGGACCTCCTGTCCTGTCACTGGGACTATTCCCCTGCCACCAGGTGCTGTTCCCAGTGAGCCATTTGCAAAGTCCTGGGTGTGGCCACAGTGGTGACGGTGGTCAGCTGTCACCCTGATTTGGGACAGAGCCAACACCTATACATTTCCTTAGACACACAGTTTGCCCACAATATAAAAGGGATCACGGCATGAAGAGTCTGTCCCCAGAGCTACAAACTGTGGGACACCAGGCCAAGCCATCAGCCTGCTGCTTTTCCCAGGATGCTGAGCCCTCCCCTGGCAGAGCCGCTCCTACCTACAACCCCTACATGCAGGTTTGAGGAAGAGCAGACTCAGACACTGCCCACCACCCACTGCATGCTCCCATCCACCTGTGTGCACCAGAGCAGTGGCTCTCATGAGATGACAGCCCACCCAGGATCCAGGAAAGAGCAAGGGGGAATGGAAAAGAGCAAGAGGGAATGCCTTTGGCTGCCTGACAGAGGGGAAGGACCGCGCGCTGCAGAAACAGGACAGGACATGATGCACTCACTCTTCCGTTGGTTTCCCCCTTCCACCATCCCTGGTCCCCGCCAATCCTGCTGTAGATCTTCACCACGTCGCCCTCCCGCAGAGAGAGCTCCCGCATGTCCCGCGCCGCGAAGTTGTATCGAGCCACCGCCGTCCCTATGACCCGTGGGGTGAACACTGCGAGGGGACAAAGCACAGGGGTCGGGAGCTGCCCCCACCACGTGGGACTGGCTGAAGCCTGGGGAAAAGCTTGGTGAGGTTCAACCTGGGTTTTCCACCACGGCTCCCACTGCAGCACCGTGGCCTGGAGGGACTGACCTCATCCGAACCGCTCAGCCCGCATGGACTGGGGTGGTCGGGGTTAAACGGGACTCCTGCTGAGCTTGGGAAACCCCTCTCTGCCAGGATGGGCCTTGCTGGGGAGCTCTGGGGTGAAGGGCACTTTTGTGTGGTGGTAAAAGAAAGGATTTCATAGGAACACACAATCACTAACAATGAAATCATGGAAAAATCCTGTTCCACTCACAGTCTCAGGTCTGGCTGCTGCACAGCTCGCAGTACCTGATGGAACCACGCATCAAAAAACTTCATAAACCCACCTCAAAAACTGAGTTATTGGGAATGAATTCTCCTAGAGTTGTTGAGCAAATCCTGCATGCTTTGCCATGAGAAGGAAGAAGCTGCTAACCTGGATCCTCCTGCTCCCTGTTCCAGGAGCACCTGGTCCCATTACAGACCAAATGGTGCCAAAACACCCTGCAAACTCTAATGCTGACCAGCAGCTCATGACGAGGAGGATGCCCCCGTGAGCCATCCTGGGAGCACTGGCACAGCCCCAGCACCATGGATCTCCATCACTTCAGGCAGGGGATGCTCAGGGGAGCCACAAGGAGGAGCAGCAGTGAGGTGGGGAAGGCAGGGGTATTGCTCAGTGTTCCTGCCCCAAGGTCTGGACAGAAGGAAGAATGCTGGAGAGCAACAAAGGGAGGGATGGGATGGGCAGAGGAGGAGAAAAACACACCTCCTTAAAGTTTGCAAAAAAACCCCCCCACCCTGAAGGGATGTTGTGTTTCAGTGAAGCTCCCTTCCTTTGTCCCAGGATTTCAGAGGACTAATTTCAATCATAAAAGCGTGCAAACCAAAGTTGAACTAAGTTTGAGGAAAAGCTTTGCCCAGGTTTTCAGCTCTCGGGATGGAAGGAGATGAGGATGGCGATGGAGATGGTCCAGACACACAACGTGCAGTCACTGGAGGGCTCGTCCATCCTGGCCAGGCAGCCAGGCTGGAGAACAGAGCAAGAATCATGGCAGCTTTGAGCTCTTTCATCAGGAGCTTGCTCAGAGCCCACTGCTGCACATATTACTTTCTGCAACACTTTCTATGCAGTTAGAGGATCTCAAATTCCCAGATTTATGCTTGAAAAGTTAAGCATTCTTCCCAAACACGGCACCAAGGAAGGCACGTGTGGCTCAGCCCATGATTTTGCCTGTCCACCTTAAAGGAAAGACTGAATGATAAAAGCTGAAATGGGAGGAAGCAAACTGGCAGGATTTTGCTCTGATCCCCCCTCAACAGGGGGGATGGCACGAGACTGTAACACATTAAATCAATGGGCTTCAAAGACCAGGGCACCACTGCACTCTCTGTAGGGAGACTGAGCCCCAAAAAACATCTCTGACAGCACAGGTCCCCCCTGCCTCCTCAGCAAGGGGCTCCTGAGCAGCCTCGGATACCAGAGCTCAAAACCTGCTGGACACTGAGATGCTGTCCTTGAGAACAAGGAGGAATAAACTGGGAGACAGTGCAATGTCAATGCTTGTTCAGTGAAACACAGGGGATAAGCAGGTCGAGCTTGAAGTACATCATGAGATCCCAAAGTGCTGGATCCACTTTTTCATTAATTTTAGCCCCTTTTCTCAAATAGCAACATCTTCTCCCTGCCTTGATTTTGGGGAGAGGGTGGGGTGTGTTTTGCTCCCAGCCAAGCCGTGGTTAATTAAGTTATTTCCAGGTTGTGCCTCAGGGTAGCCCTGAGGACCCCCTGAACTGCCCTGTGGGGATGGAGGGACAGCAGGGACCCCACAGGTCCCACTGGTGATGGCTTTCAAGCTGGTGATGGTGGCAGGTCTCTCCAGCAGGGAGAGGCACTGGTACCTGACCAGAAGGGACTGGAGGAGCTCTGAGAAGAAAAGTTGAGGCCCTGAGGACTGAGAAAAGAAAAGTTGTAGGAAGCGCAGGAGGCTGCAACGAGGTTAGAGAGAAACAGAAAGAGGCAGAACACGCATTAAAAAGGAAATAAAAAAAAAATATTATAATGCACAGTGCTTTAAAAGCTGATGGAGAAATACAAGGTAAAGCATGCAGAGGGTCTTGTGCAGGGGCTTGGAGCTGGGACAGCTGACAGAAGGTCTGGCCACAGCCCCACAGCCAGTGTGGGGGCTCAAAATTCATCCTATGGTTGTATTTCACACAAAAGGATATTTAATCAACTTTTATATTCCTTTGGTATTCTTTTTTAAATATACCATGGAGAATTTTTTTTTTTTAAATTCATTTTTTTCCCCACTAAGTAGTTAGTTTTGCACTCAGGCTTTTGGACAAAACAGAACTCTTTGCCCTATTGCATTTTTACTTTCCATTTGTTTTGATTTTTGTTCTCATTCTTTTTATTTTAGGCACAGACTTACCATTTCACCCGTGATCTCCATTAAAGGAGTCCCACTGGGATTCAAACCACAAGTCACACTGGGACTGGATCCATTAAAACACATGCACAAGGAACTCACGTAGGTGGGGCAAGACACAGTAAATCCCACTAAGTGATCATCACATCCCTGCTCCTGACCTGCAGGTAGATGGGATGCTCTGGTCTGGATCAAGGGATGGGCAGACCACACCCCTGAGCACAAGGTCCAAAACCACAGGAGGGGAACCAGCCTCCTCCAGCAAAAACTCTCCCTCAGATCCCCCTGATCCACCATCTCCTGCAAGACTAGTCCTCAAAATGCCACCAGCCAGAGCAGATGATTTATCTGCAAACTGAGGAATTCAAACGCTACAGTGAAGCTGTAAATCCCTCCATCCAGTGCTCCTACACCTGGCTGGAAGGGTGAGGTTTTCCATGACAAGTTTAACTGCCCCCAGGCTGGGTTTTACCTGGGGAGCGGGTGAAGGTCCTGGAGGTAGAGCGCTCCCGAGATTTGTAGGGGTATTTCAGCGTCGTGTCCAGCTGCTTGAAGCTCTCCTTCAGCGAGTGGCTCTGGTAGTACTCGACCAGCTCCTGGGAAGGATGGAGAGGCACCTGGCTGTCTCTGCCATCCTCTGTGTGACTGGCAGGGGCAGTGCACATGCTACAAGGGGAGACAAAAACCCACCAGCAAGCTTTCAAACTTCTTGGCTTCTGTGATGTGAATCCAGTTGTCTTTCTCCACCACCTTGATGTGCTTCACCTCCTCGTTGAACCTGCCAGCGGCAGCAAAGGCACTCAAGAAAACGTAGCTGTGCTTTCCAGCCCCAGCTCATCCTCCATGAGTGAGAAATACTAAATTATTCAATTACTAAGTGAAGTTATCACTCACTTAATACTGATGGCGAAGCGCTCGGCCTCGGCCGGCCGCTCCCGGATCAAATAGGTGCCGCTGACGTGAGACTTGAGCAGGTTGTCCGTCTGCTGCCGCTCCATGTTCCCAGCAAACCTGAGCCCAGAGGTTAACTGATTAATTTAATTAACTACAATGAATGCATATCTTCAAATAGGCATGTTTTGGATAAAAAGATATGCCATCTTTTGAAGGCATGAAGGTTGGAAGGGCAGGCAGAGAAACAGGTCTCATCCAAGTCGTCATGAGGAGGAAGGAAAGTGCCCTGAGATATACAAGAAGCTGCTGAGCCACTGAACTGTGGGTGAGCACTTCTAAGTGTGACCTCTTCACTGATTGGGAAACAGTCCCCAGGTTAATGAGGCTTCAGCAAGAGGATAATTTATATCCATGAATTTGTAAGCCCGGCTGGAGCTGGAGGGAAGGAACAGCAGGCAAGCCAAGCACAGCCTTTCCTGCCAGGAGGCAGGAATTGCCTCCTTCCTCTCAAAATTATTTTCTGGGCACAGAAAATGGGAAGAGAAACCAGTATCTCTTTCAGCCTCTGTCTCCATCAGTGAAGAAATTCTCATGGATACTGCCAGGGCTGCACCAGGTTTCAACACCCAAACACAAGTGTGGTGGCTGCCCTGCAGCCACAGGGAAAGCAGGCTGCAAATCCCTGCTAGTCTGCATTCAGAATTCTTTATTGGACTGGATTCCTGACAGAGTAACAACCAAAAGGCAAGGTTGGTTTATGTTCATAGCCAGAGGAGGGTCGACTCACCACGGGTACGCCGTGTAGTCGATCTCCCGTGAGGGCGGTCGGCTGTTGGGAGGCTGCGAAGACAGAATTGCTCATTAGTGAAGAGCCAGCAGCTCATCAGGCTGTGCATCACGTGTGAGATGCTCCTCTCCACAGGAGGGTTCCTTCTGCCAAGCTGTTCCTGGATTATCGGCTTGGGCGGCGGAGGGCAGTGTTGTAGCTGAGCATTTCCCTCTCAGCCTCCCAGCTGGGATGAGCAGGCTGTACTTGTTCATTTACCTGAGTGGTTTTTAATTGGGAAGCAGCTGACAACATTACAGAAAACAGCTAAAAACAATTAAAATAAATCAAATACAGTTTTCCTGCACTGTGCCTGATTTCAAGTCCTCTGCTCCCAAGTTAGCCCTGCAGAGGAGGAACAGAGTCTGGACCTGGTCACACCAACCCCAATCTTGGGAACAGGGCTGAGATTGATGCAAATCAGACATCTGCAACCACGGGATGAGGTTGCTACCTCCTTGCTAATTCAGCCACAGCAGAGGCCTCACTGAAGGTCCAGGGGCTGACTGGAAGGACCAAGGTCTCAAGCAGAAGGCCGAGAAGATCAACAGGGAACACTAGAGCACTCCCACCCACTCTGGGCTCCATCTCCTCTCTGGCACTTACCCTGGCATCCACAGGGCAGGGCTTTACTGACGAGCTGGGAAAATAACCTGACTTCTTCGTCTGCAGCAGCCGCCCCTGCAGAGACAAGCTGGACGTCAGACTGGGGCGGGCACGGGGAGCAGTGGTGTCACTGTGCAGGGATGGGGACAGGTTCCAGACTGCCTCCAAACCCCCAGCACACCCCTGCTCCAGGAAAGCCCACAAATAAAAGGGGCAATGCAGAAGTCACTGGTTTAAAACCTTCCAGGAGCTTTCCAAGGGGAATCGTTCTCACCTCCCACCATGGCGAGTCGGGGTCCCCCCTCAGCAGCTCGATCACATCCCCAATTTGAAAGGTCAGCACTGGCTTTCCAGGAGGGGTTGGGTTTCCATGGTAATTCTGAACTGCCACCATTTTAGGACCTGGGAGAAGAGCAAAATAGTTTCATCACCTGGTCCCTGCTCAAAAAACCCCAAAACAAAACTCCCCCCTCCTGAAGTCTTGTTCCTTATCCTATGAACCACAAACCCAACGGCACCAGCAGGCAGGATTTGGGGGCAGAAAGCATAAAAGCAGAAAAGAACAGTGTCCACAGTGAATGTTCTTGGCTCCTGCAGTTACACGGATCACTGAGTTCCCTCCGGCCAAAGTTCCACCTCCCAGCCCTGCACCTGGATTTGAGCCTGGCTGAGGCAGAGCCTGGCTGGCACCAAACCCCACCGGGCTCAGTGGTGACACCAGGATTGCAAAAGGGATCAGGAGTGTGACACCCACGATTGCAAAAAGGGCCCAGAGAACACTCAGCTTCCACCGAGTGTCCGCTGAACCTGGGACTCAAACACCCCTGAAGCTCCCAGTCAAAGTCCAGCTGCCTTGCCAACAACTGCACATTAAATAAGCTCCCCCAACTGCACTCAAACCACAGTGTTTATTTTCAAAGCACTTCCCCACCTCTGCTTCTCCCTGCCCAGTGAGAGCACTCTCTGCTTGCTTTTTTGTTTTAACCACCAACTTGATTCAGGTTTCCTTTTGCCAGACTTGGCTTTCCTTCCATCAGAGAAAGTACAAAAACAAATTGTTCTTCTCCTTTGAGCCAGAGCATGGGCAGGGCAGGCCTGGAGCTCTGTCCAGGCTAGTTTTAAACAGAGAAGATAAAAAAATATTGCAGCAATCATCATGACTGATGGCCCATCAGAGGGCAGTGCCTGCAGCACAGGTGATGGCTGAGCCCAGGTTGCAGCTGTGGCTCTTTCCTGCTGCTTTGGGGAGCAGTGACAGGAGAGACCCCCGTGCCCCATCACCTGCTGTGAGGGTGCACAGGACCCTTCTGAAGGAACTAATGCTCTTTTCTGCTTTTGAAAAGAGCCCCCCACACACCGAGTGTCAGGGACTCCCTGCAGCCACAACTGAGATGACACCTCTCCTTGCCCTCCTGTAAAACACTACTGTACTTACCAGGTCCAGCACCCAGTGAATCCTGCAAAAAAAGAGCAAAAAGTCTCTGTGAGGACATATCAGTCTCAGTTCTCCCTGTGAACACCCGCCTGAAGACACCATATGAGGAACTCTCTCCCAAAACCTCCCTGGTACTCCCCAGCCCGTGGTGTTTGTCCCAGCTGGGTGCTGCCACCTCCCAAGGGCTGCAGTGCTGCACAAACTGGGCCAGTTTTAGGCTGGAAAAGAGGCCCCTGGTCTCCAGTCCTACCCTCTGAGGCCTGTGGTTGTTTTTCCCACAAGCTGCCCCTGCCCAGACTGGGTAAGGACACAGGCTCTGCCTAAGGCAGAGACGGATGAGGAAAAGGGCCATCAAACAACCTACCTGGTCTGCTGAAGAACCTGCAAGAGAAAAGGGTGGAATAAGCATTAATTTTACAGACAACAAAACCCATTTTCTTTTGACACTGTGAGTTCCAATAAACCATCAGCAGTGTGTGAACTGACAGAAGAAGCCCAAAGCAGAGCTGGGGTCACCTGGGCCATAGCTCTGCTCTGGACGGGCAAGATGCAGGGAAGGACTGGAGCTGGACAAGGACATTTCCTCACTTGCACAAAATTCTGTGATTTTGTTTCTTCCTCTCTCCACTCCCCACTCAAAACCTACCTGGAGCCACCTCGTGACATCCCCTTGCCCCAGGCAGGACCAAGGCTCTGACCCAGCAGAGCTGAGTCACAGCTTTGCCCTATTTAGACCAAGGACACAAATCTCTGCCATCCTATGGGACATGAAGGATCCAGAGACGAGGTCTCTCCTCATCAGAAATGTTATCCCTGCTGCAGACCCTCCTGTTTCATTATCCAGTATCTTCTGATGAAGAACTCATCATCTCTCTTAAATGCCCACCCAGCACACAGTGCTGCTGTGATCCTCTTGACATCCATGGCATGCAGCCCTTTGGTTTGGGTGGTTCTGGCTGGTTTGTTTATTTTATAAACCACCAGCCAATGTGACTTACAGCCCTGGGAGGTGGGTGGGAGGGCACTTTTTTTATGCATTAACAAGCATTAGTGCTTAATGGAGAAAATCTGTCAGATCATTCACGTGCAGCATAAGCTGCTCATGATGTGAAATAACTCACCGATCTTGCAGGGAGGAATGATCTCCAAGCACTCCTTATGAGCACCTGCTCCACATTTGGGGCAAAGATAGCCCTGGTAGAAGGTTCCTCTGTGCAAAAAAAAAACCAAAAACACAAGTCAGAAAGTCCTAATCCAGCCTCAGCTCTGAGGTTTTCTTTCCATGTTTCAATGCTGATGCAGAACAGCTGGAAGGTTGTTGCTCACCTCAGGAACATCCTGCAGGCTTTGCAGTTGGTCGTCTTTTCAAAAGTGTACATCTGAAAGTTGTGGTGATTTGCATTGGCTTTCTCTGGCTTTATGTTGGACCTGAGGGAAAGGATCGAGGGGTTATCAACCTGTCCCCACGAGGGCCTGTTTGCATTTCAGTCAAAGCTTGGACACCACACAGACAGATATGAAATCAAATGTGAAAGGAGACTCAGGGTTTGACTGTGTGAGGGAGGATTTTGCCCATCAACCTTCCCCTGGGACAACAGTCATGGATTTGGCCCTTGCCCGAGTCAATCATCAGCCTAGATCTGTCGGCGTGGGGCCGATCCCTGCTCTGCTCAGAATCAGGTCCTGCAGCACCACCCTCCTCCAGTGCCAGCCTGGTACTTCCCCCATGGCCCTGCACCACGGCAAGGTGTCATTTCAGAGAAACACAGAATGGTTTGGGTTGGAAGGACCTTAAAGAGCATCTCATTCCAACACTCTGCCATGGGTAGGGACACCTTCCACTAGCCCAGGTTGCTCCAAGCCCTGTCCAACCTGGCCTTGACCACTTCCAGGGATGGGGCAGACACAGTTTCTCTGGGTAACCCGTGCCAGGGCCTCACCATCCTCACAGGGATAAAATCCAATTTCAGGAATACACCACCCATGCTTTGGTGTGGATGCTCAGAGTAGATGGTTTCAGGCTCCCTTTGCACAGAGACCCGTCCAGCAAGTCCACATGAGCTTCCCCATCACAGGTTTTGCTATCAGAGCTCGTCTCCAGTGACCTGATGGCCCATGACACTTTTCCCCCACACTTGGGAACTGCACCCAGGGCTAGAGCACCCACTCATGCTCACATTGCCATTTCAAACTGCTCCATCCACTTCCTCTTCATTTCCTCTGTCTTGCAGAAGAACTGGAAGCCCTGCTTCCCCTGAAGGTGGATTAGGTAGAAGCCGTATGACCACTGCAAGAGAAAATGAGAGCGCTGACCTCGCTGTGCTCCCAACACCTGAGCAGCAAAACGCATCACACTTCCATGCAGGCACCTCAGTAACTGCTCTGAGGGCCTGCCCCTGCCCCTTCTGCTGAACCTTGCACAGGCAACAGCAGGGAAGGAGGAAGAACAGCTCCCTGTTTCTCTAACACATCACAGCTAATGATGCCTGAACTGGCTTGGCGCTGTGCACTTGGACCAAACAGGATTTCATGGTGGCAGATGAGAGAACCCAGATTTTTCTGCTCCACTGGATCCTCCCCAGCCATTATATCTCTCTCTGACAGCAACTGACAGCCCAGGAGGAACATCTGACCTGCCCACCACACATATGCTCAGCCTGTCTCGTTACAACACTGCACAGAAACACAGGAGAGAGAAGTGGGTGCTTTGCTTACCATTTTTCCATGAGACTAGAAAGCATAGGAGAGCAAAGTGGAAATACATTTCATTAACACACAAAGCTAGCAGCATTTCTTCAGCAGCCAAGTGGCAAAACTGGCTATTCTTACCCCAATTTCCCTTTATCCCATCGGGATAATACCTCTTCCCACGGCATGTAAGTGGATTAAGCTAATGGGGCTCTGCTAAAGCGAGAGCTGGGAGGTTTTCCCTTAGCCCTGCAGACTGAGCCTCAAACCACCAGCAAAATGATGTTCCTGCAGTGCTTTGAGTGCCAGTTTTGTCAGGCTGGTGTGCAGTGCTCAGGCTGCCTTTCCAGGCTCCTCCACCCCACAAGCTCATGGGAGCGAGAGCATCCGGATGGACCTTCCCTCCCTCCCTGCCCTCCTCTGCCTCCCTGTCTGATGTTTGCTCCCTGATGGTGGGCCAGAAAGCAGGGAGCAGCTTCCTCCCTCCTAACTCCAACCATCCCAGCCTCCTCAGGGCTGTTTTGCAGGAACAGAGGTCAAGGATCCAGCCCAGCCCCACATTAATAAACATTTCCCAAAGCTCTGTAAGGCTGCCCTGAAAGATGAGCATTTATTTTCCAGCTTTTTTTGCAAGCACTGTTTCTACTTTAAAAGGCTAATGGGAACATACTACCCTGAAACAGCTCCAAAACGCTCTCCAGCAGAGCTAATCCTTGGTCCACCTACCTTCTTAATGTCCTTGTTATTCATGGGGTCATCAGTCATCTTGTGGAAGAGCAGCTCAATAATTTCTTTCAGCTCGTAATTGTATCCTTTCCTTTTGCAGACGATAACCACTTTATCAAATAAAAATAAATACCTGCCCAAAGCAAGCAAATAAACAAGCAACCCTGTCAAACACCTCATCAAAGTCCCCATCCAAGGGGAAAGAATTTGGAAAGCTCTGCACAGCTTTCCAGCCAGCGCTGCTGAACGCTTGGACCCTGCTGGACTTTCATGTTGATGGTGGACTCTGTCAGTGGCAGTCCAGGCAATAAATAAATAAATACATGAGCTCAAGGGGAGTCACCAAACAAAGGCACTTTTAGTTTGGGAATATTTCTGAGTGCTGTTGCTCACTCACCTGTCCTGCTTGGTGTGGTTGACTATGGAGCGCACCTTCAGCTCCCCATCGATCTTTGGCCTCCCAAACTCCTCCAGCTTCACTTGCTGCAGAAAGCAAAGCAGGGCTGAGATCCACAACCAGGGCTGGAATGATGTTTTGGGGAGGTAGAACCCAAAGCCACCTGGATTGCAACCCCCAGCCCTGCTTCGAGCTGCTGAAGCTCCTGGGAGCAGCATTGCCCTCGCCAAGGGGAGGGAGGATGCTCCCAAGGGGAGCTCAAGGATGCTCCAAAGGGAGCCTGTGCACGAGCAGGACCACTGGGGACCCCTGAACCTCCAGCACTGGCATCCTGGGGCAAGGCTCAGCAGTCAAAGCATTTTTACAAAGTTTGGGATCTGTAAAAGCAAACCCCCTGCCAAAATAAGCTATTTTCCAGAGGTTTCTACAATAATTAAGGATGTCTCTGTCTGTTAAATAACCACCCAGTAAAAGTTCACTGTTTCCAAATCAAGTCAGGGCTTAAAACCCCCAAACCCAGCACCCCTCCAGGAAGCCCTGGGGGTGGGCAGCCCCCAGCACCTCCCTCCATCAGCCTTTTGAAGTATCTCAGGTGTCAGTCCCCAAATTGCATTACCCAGCGTAAAGTGTGACGGAGGAGCAGCTGCACCCACAGCTGACCAGCCCCCCCTCCATCCCCCCAAATGGAAGAAAAGCTCATTAGCTTGAAGGTCTGCCACTGAATATCAAATTACTGGGTTTGTTCAGGGCTAAAGTGAGTGCTGGGCTGCACAGGGGCAGCTGAGGCACAGTAATGGGACTGAGTGTTTGATACCTCTGGAGTTTGGAGGATGAGATTCTCCTTAAAATATCCGGTTGGGATTTTGAGGATTAAGTGTGTTATTATGTCAGCCCTTCTCTTCCACTTTCAGTTAACCTCTGTCCTCTTAGCAGCAAAAGAAACCCCACTTTAAGTAGCAGACAGAGGATTTGAGGAATTCTTGGGTTCCCCCTACACTAATAACACGAGAAAAAGTCAGAGACACATTTTCAGTGCAATATCACCACAAGAAGTCACTCTCCATCCCAGACAAAGCACCTTTGTGATGTAGCAACCACTTATGGACCATCAGCAAAACCACTGCCAGTGACAAGGGAGTGCCCAAACACATTGGGTAGTATACCAGAATAAGTAACAGTTGCATACAAAAAAGCAAAAATGTTTAATAATAAAATTAATTTGGGTTCAAGAGGATTTTTCAACTTACCAGGTTTTCTATAGAGCTCTGAAATTCACTTATTTTCTTTAAAGTCTCCTTGTCCCTCTTTACTTCATTGATGTACATGGCCAAGTCCTTCAAAGAAAAGTGGAGACAGATTTTTATTTTCCAGATGACAATAGTAACATACCCGAGCAGGATACACACGAGCCTGGCTCCCTGAATCCCTGAGGAGTCTGAGCAGAACCCCACAGCAGCCTGGGACACCTCAGCACAGGCTCTTGGTGCTCCCACTGCTGAGCCAGGCGGGTGCTGCAATTTTTTCCATTTCCCAGAAGATGGCAATGCATGAATCCATAGCAGTGTGTAAATCCAGTGCAGCACAGCAAACCCTGTGGCTGTTACCTGGTGAGCCAGGCACCCCCTGCCTTGCCCCTCTGCCTGGTAGCATCCTTCCCTCCCAACCTTTCATCACCATAACTCCCCACATCCCCCTGGGTACAAAAGCTGTGAGCTGGTCTCTGCTGTCAAAACATCCATGTCTGTAAAGTAACTGCTTTGGACACCTGGCTGCACGTTAGCTGGGAACAGACTTGACTGGGCTCTGCCCCTCTTGCTTCCAGCTCTTTTCCCTGGGTGCTCCAGATTGCACCTGAGCTGGTGAGAGCATTGGGATTTTCATGCTCGGTCCTTCCTGGGACATCCCCCAATAGCATCCCCACCTCCAACACTTCTGGGCTCCAACATCTCCCACCACACAAAGGCTTCATTGTAAAATAAGGAGACTGTTCTGCCCTCAAAAATTCCTCGCTTATCCAAATTTTGATCCACCAAAGAGAAGAAACCCTATCTTTCTACTAAAAGCACTCCTTACACCTTTCAGAGCGCATTTTCTGTGCCTGTTTGCTTCTTATCTGCTCCCTCCTTGTCCTCAACAACAGCTCTTGTCAACATGGATTAGATCTGAACATGGGATTTTTTAAGACATTCCCTCTGGGTCAGACCTTCCTCAGCTTCCCAAGAGAAGAAGGGTTAATCACGGACGATAATCACATATCTACGTGACAATACTTGTAACATCACAGAACACCCCACCGGGCAGTGGCAGGGATGGTGATGAGAAATGACACGACCAAAAGCCTTATGAAGCAGTATCCTCCACCATGCTTTAGCACTGACCTCAGTTCCCTCCTGCTGAACAGGGGAAACACAATCCCAGGAGCAACCACGACTTGAAACAACAATACACAAATGTGGGCTGCAGGATTTCACTGGGAATTGTGTTGTCCCACCACTGCCTGGGGATTTGGTTCTGCATTCTCAGGCAGAGGGTTGGTACCTGTACCAAATACCACCATCACGAACAATTTTTTTGGGTGGAAATCCTGCCCCCTGCCTTGCCCAAACAACTATTCATGCAAAATAAAAGGGAAGTGAATCACTTTGGGAAACATTGCTCTATTCACCCCCTGCACGGCTCTCACCCCAGCCAGCAGCAGCGTCTGCTGCCTGCCAGCAGAGCAGACAGAAAGGCTGGACTTGTGATGAAAAACATCACTTGGAGGTTAAGCCTGGGTTTACAGATCAATTAAAACCAAACTGAACGGCTTCCGATGCCCCCGCCGAGCCCAGCGCGGTCGGAACTGCACCCGCGCTCTCCTGGCAATGGGGAGAAGAAGAGAGAAACCTCCCTGATGGCTATCGGCAGCTTCCTGCAAGAAATGCTGAGTGTGCAGCACAGCCAGAGCATATATACATTTATTTATTAGCAGTGGTGTTGGCAGTGCTGGATGATGAGGCCATAAGCAGGGTTTAACTGCTGTCACCAGGTTTAGCGTTCATTTGAGGCCACAGAGCAGGAGAGGGCTGTGAATGCAACGTCCTTCAAACAACCTCAACTCTAAAGTGACCCACATATCAGCTCTGGACTCCCAGGCTTGGAGGGATAATGGCTGGAAAGGTCACCCAACTTATGTAAGTGCCAGGAAATGCAGCGATGTTACAAAAGCTGCGGCTCAGAGACAGAAAACAAAGTGACCGTGAACATGGGAGCAAACCCTGGGATGAATCCTGAGATGCTCTCCAGAGAGCAAACCTGAAGCTAATGAGCATTCTCAATTCAGATTTTGCTGATGGTGGCCCCTTGGTGTGAGTCTGTGTGTGTGTGGGTACATATCCCAGTCAGAAAACATTTGGATGATTCTATGACCCTATGATTTTATTTTTTGTTGCTGATGGTTTTCCTGAGGTTTCGGGGGTTTCAGCTGAAAGCCCCCAAAAAAATTAAACAAAGCAAAATGTTGACACCAGAAGTCTTAAATTGTTGAAGGAGCATTTTCCCCTTAACAGAAAAAAATTCCTTGGATAAAAGGATTCCCACCCAGCACCTGGATAACAGCACCCAGGGAACGCTCCGCACACGCAGGCTCCCATTTCTGCAACGCTCCACGGCTTGCTGATACGTCTGGAGTTCCTCCAGATCCCTCCCAGCAAAAACAAGAGCCGGATCTGGCACGGCCTCTTTACACACAATAGCAATCAGCGAGAAGTCGTAACTTGTCAACAAACACCATCTTCCCCAGCTGCCTCGGGAGGGAGACGGCGGCGAGGACTCCAGATCTGCTGCGAGGCCATCTCATCAAACGGCAATCAATACACACGTGTGTGTCCAAAAGGAGGAGGTGCTGCCTTCCCTCAGCCCATAGGATGGTTTTGCCATCTAAGTTTTTCTTTTACAGACCAGAGGGGTCACGGGCTTTGTTGCACCCCAAGCCCAGCATTGCCCCATTGCCGCTCTCACCCTCCTGTACCTGCATCGCCTCCAGAGCCTCCTTCAGCTGTTGCTTCTCTGGTCGGTCCGAGGAATGGCTGAGCAGCTCCTGAGAAAGTATAAATAAATAAAAATAAAGAGTTTGGAGGTGCTAGAAAAACTGTGCAGACCCTGCCTGCACCGGACAGGCTCTCACCACAGCCACCTGCCTGAGTGGTGGTAGGACTGTCAGGGTGGTGGCAGGGATGTCTGGGAGATGGCAGGGATGCCAGAGTGGCTGCAGGGATGCCTGGGTGATGGCAGGGATGCCAAGGAGGCGGCAGGGATGCCTGGGCAGGCGGCTGTGGCCGTAGGACAGGGAACATGCCAAGCGGCTGGTGTTTGAGAGATCTGTTACACAGAGTTGACGGGTGGAATTTCACACATAATCAGATTATATGCAAGCTTATTTTATATTCATTAACTGCCTCTCGTGGCTAACAAGTGCAGAATTACCCTAGGTCACCGTGCTTTAAGAGATGGCACAAATATTATTATGTCGTGTTAAGGAGCTCTAGTAATTATTTCATTTGAAGGGGAAAAAACTCCAAAACCTCCCTCTGCATTTGGCAACGATTCACTCTTCAATCAAAGACTTGAAAGATGTTACAGAGAGGGCAGCAGCTGGAGAGAAATGCCAGTGCTGAAAAACTTACTTTCAACAGGAGATGGTATTTCAAAACTCTCTGCATTGGAACCACCAGCAGATCTTGCAATTTAAATTTCCCGTCCTGGACCTTTAGTGTGCATTCCTAGTAAAGAGATCAATAAATCAGCTGGGGAAAAACAAGGGGTCCCCCCAGAAAAAGCCTCCCATGTCCCGTGGTTCTTCGTTTGGCTTCTGTAAACACAGTTGTGGTGCCCACAGGCTCGTGGTCCCTGCAGGCACCCAGCCAGGGCTGGGGCTCCCACCACAGAGGTTATCAAGGAATTAAACCCAGAGGCTGGACCCTAAAATACAGGCATTCTCATGCAACTGAGCTACTCCAGCTTAATGAGATGCTGCTCATTAGGGGAGCACACGAACGCTCCCGGACGTGGGGAAATGTCAAATGAAACACATTAGCTTCCCCCACCCCCTGGCTGGGCTGAACTAATGTGTTTTATTTGTGAGGGGCTGGCAGGGAGCACGCAGCCAGTGGCTCTGGTGTCGCTGGCAAGCATTAAGTCATTAAGATGAGCTAATGTGGTCGCAGGAAGTTTTGCCACCGTTACCTTCACCCAGACCTATTTAAATAACGGGATTCAGCTGCCTGAGACCCTCCCAGGGAAGGAGAGAAAGGAAAAGCACGGGAGCAACTGGATGCTACAGCCACTGGCTTGAACAAAGACCCAGAGAACACGTTTCAAACAATTCTTAAATGCAGTTTTACCCCCAAATTGGGTTTACATGGAAAATCAAAGAGCGTTTGCGGAGCGCGAGGTAACGTGTACAGACAGCCCAGCAAATTCCGATTAGCAGCAAGACCAAAGCAGGAATTAAAGCTGGGTAAAAAACAGCAGCTCAAACAATGCCTCCCTTCTGGGGCTCCTTTGATTCACTTAATATCTGGATCAGCCCCTATTTACACTAAGCCTTTATGCTGGGGAAGGAGGACAGGGCAGTAATCCGAGTGTTCGCCTGGGGACTTGGGTTCACCTCTGATGGTCCCTGATGCTGTTGGCGACCTTGGGAAACCATGTGGCTCCTGGCCTGGGGATGCTCAGGGCATTTGGGTCTCCCTGCACCACTCAAAGAATTTGTCCCAGCCAGTCCCACTCAAATGAAGTCACTGGCCTGTTTTAGCTTGGATAAACTCAGGCAGGAAGGACAGAGTGTGTGTCAGGTGAGGAGATGAAGGGGCAAACAGGGGAACAGGACAAGATGACCCCCAGCTTTGCTCCTTCTCCGAGCAGCACAGACCCACTCTCACATCCCTCTGTTCTTTTGTTAACTCAAACATTCCCAAGGCAGCATTCTTGGCTCCAGCAAGTCCTTCCAAAACCCCTGACAAGGGGGATGGGCAACACTCTGCCCCCAGTGTCCCCTGCCCGCTCACCTCCACCTTCTGCCGGACGTCCTCCCGGTTGGCGAGGAGGTGGTTGAGGGTGTTCTGGGCATACTCCATGTGGCTGCAGTACTTGCCATAAATCAGCAGCCTGGACAGGGGGAAATCACAGATCTAATCAGAAACACTTGCTGGCAGTTATAATCTGTTATAAAAGATACAGTGAAAGGACAAGGCAAACAGCTAATCTCCCGTGTAATTCATAGCAAAGCATTAACACTCCTTTACTGTGTGGCTTTTTAACACTTAAATCTTCAACACTCAAATATTCAGACGTTTCCAGAGTTGGAGCCTGTGGGATAATTCAGCTTGTGATGAGCAGAAGGGGCCGAGTGGCCAGAGGAGGCTGATTTTGGAGCTACGATGGCTCACTCCTTCACTCCTGTCAGCCTGCCCTGGTGGAAGGTGTCCCTGCCCATGGCAGGGGGTTGGAACTGAATGATCCTCAAGGTCCCTTCCAACACAAACCATTCTGTGATTCTATGATGATTCTACAACACATTTTAGAAAGCTCATTGTTCCTTGCAGGGTGTGCCACAGGGACCTAGAGATCAAGAGGATGGGTCACTGGGAAAAGAAGGTTGCCACAGCCTTTGGAAACACAGTGAAGCTCTGTATGGACACCCCGGGCTATAAATTTAAACACCTGACAAAACAGAGCAGTTTTGCCATGGATTCCCCCTTTTTCCTCACTCCTCTCATTAATCCTGCATGACAGGTTTGGGTTTTCTCCCCCTGCCTGGCCGTTAACTGTTCTGCTGCTGATAAGACACATATTCCATCACGCACTGCAACTCATCCATTATTTCAGGGCCTCATCTCTCGATGGAGACAACCTGGGAGCACCTGACCCAGCGTTGCTCCATAAACACGGGACCCTCAGACCCCAGCAGGGAGCTGAATAGAGAGATTTATGGAGCCCCCGTCCCCGGTGAAGCCACAGCCAATACAGATTATTCTTCTGCCTTTTCCCCTTGACAACTTCTGAACATGCACAATAATATCTACCTTGCCAGCACCGGGAGAGTTTCAAAGAGGCTTCAGGAGCATAAATTCAAACCTCTGGCTTTCAGAGAAAGAGATTTACAAACTATTTCCTTAAAAAAGAAAAAAAAAATACCCACAAAGCAGAGGAGCAATGCATCATTTTTCTGGGATGTCTCCTAGGATGCGTAGGGAAGTGAGAGCTATTTGTCATGGATATATTTGATGGAGGAAGGTCTTACATACAAGGACCAAGCAGGAACTCAGGAACATTCCCTTCTTGGTGGGGCAACACTGTCTCCCCAGTGAACTCACTTTCTCCTCCTGCACCCATTTCCTTGCTGCAAAAAGTGGAACTGTTGTCTTTCCTAATTGTAGGAATGGACTCTGCATATTTAGATCAGGTTGCTCCATGGTCTTCATCCCCAAGACTCTCATTTTGGGGTCTTTTCCAAATCAAAACTCCCTTTGAACAGCAGTTTCCCACAGCAGTAAGGTCCCCAAAATTCCCACGGACTGAACACAGCTCCAGATCTGCTGCCACCACCTCGCAGCTGTCAGTCTGGCTCCTTCATTCACATCTTTCCAAGCCTTTTAGGTCCTTCAAGAAGTTGTTTCCAAACTCCCTTGTCCATTCCCTGCTCCCTGGCTGCACAGTTCTGTCCTGGGGATGGCACTGGCACGCACAGAGCCGAGCCAGGAATTAGGAGATCAAAATCACCTTAGTGGGTTTTATGAGTGTTTTAAAATTATTTGCATTCTTCTTTGGAAACTTTTTTTTTTTTTTATTTAATCCAGAAGAAATGCCCTTTGTAAAAAGAGGCCCCGAGAATGATGGAATACCTGACCTTATGGTGTGTTGTTATTGCAGATGGTATTCCTGGAGTTATTGACTCCTGAATGGCATTTCTGTGTCTAGACACTGGTTTAATCACAGTGAAATAACACCCTGGCACGACTCCACAATGAATCACCCTTTGATTAGCATTAAGGATATTAAAAGCTTTTATTAACCTTATCTTTGTGTTCTGGGGTGCTCCTGCTTGCAGCTGCCAAAACACAAAATCTATTCTGTTTGAAAAAGCAACTTTTACATTTATTCATCATACCAGAGGGGCGGGACAAGTGCGGTGCCAAAGAGGTGACTTTCTGGAGTGAGGAATCACTTTGATCTAACAAGAGCCAAGTCTCCCCTGCCCAGGAGTCATCCTGCCACATCACAAGCCCTCAAAGCCCCACTGCTGCTTGCAGGAGACCACACTAAACCCTTGAAGCCGAGTGAGGTTTTACTCCATTCCTGTTCACCACAGTTGTAGCATTCCAATCTTTATCCCCTCTGATATGTCCCTGTAAACACACTGCATATTCAGTCTCTTATGAGATGTAGAGCCCAGAGAAATCCAGGTGCAGCCAGGGGCTTGCAGGAACAAGGATCCACAGGAGCTACATGACTGAGCCCAGCTGGTCAAAGGGGAGATGTTGCAGCCTCTGCCCTGAGCAACCTGACACGGTCGTGGCTGGATTTGGCTGCTTAAGTGTCAGCACCACATGATGTTTCAGCTGCCTGACAGCATTTAAATGCAGAGGACACAAACCTGGTCTGCTGTGACAGGGATTTCTAGAATCAGGGAATCAGTAAGGTTGGAAAAGCCCTCTAAGACCATTGGGTCCAACCATTAACCCAGCACTGCCCAGTTCACCATAGAATCATGTCCCTAAGCACCACAACTACGTGTTTTTTGAATGCTTCCAGAGGTGGTGACTCCACCACTTCCCTGGACAGCTTGTTCCAGTGCTTCACAATCCTTTCAGCAAAGAAATTGTCCCTGATATCCAGCCTAAACCTCCCTAGGTGAAACTTGAGGCTCCTTGCTCTTGTTCCATCACTCATTACTTGGGAGAAAAGACAGATTCCCACTTGGCTACAACTTCCTTTCAGGTAGGAGTAGGGAGTGAGAAGGTAGAGAGCAACAGGGAGCTCTGTTCAAATCTTGGAGATGAGCCCTGCAAATGTTAACCCAAATCTGCTAAAACTGGAGCTGCCTGAAGCCCAGGTTTCCTTTACCTCTCTTTGAATTCCAGAAACACTTTTGCCAGGCTGCTTCCTCCAGACATCATAGAGACATCGATGGCTCTCAGGAAACTGAAGTGCACTTTAATTAGGTCCTAAAACAAAGAAACAGTCAATACTTTAAACACATTCAAGGCAAGTGGGCAAACAGAGCTAAAGAAATGAACATTCATTACTTCATCAGGCAGGTTTTTTTTTCCTCTTTGAGCTGTTTTTAAAGAAAGTCCTTCTAGTGGAATGCAGCCCTGAAAGGCCTGGAATACAGGAGTGTAATTCCATCAGAGGTTACACAGTGATAAATGCCCCAGAATGGGGAGGGAGGAGGAGGTGGGATGAAAGGTGCAGAGGAGACAGCAGGTTCTGACCCAGACCCTGTGTAAGCCAGCATAGAAATAAATCCCTTCATCACAATTTGCCCAAACCACCTAATCCAGGTAAAATCCACAGCCCCAGCCCCAGAACATCCTCTGGATAGAACTGTTTTCTTACCTAGAGTTCATATAATCCCCAACTCTAAAACTGAGTGTTAAAGAATGTCTCCTAAACCTGTTCAAGCTCCACAGCACACAAAGGGCTGAACCTCTACAGGTGAATGCACAAATCTAACAGGAAATGGGAAAACCTTCTCTTAAGCAGGGAGAGGGCTGAGCTGCCTCGAAGAGAACAAAGATTTAAGCCACAAAGTCCACGCCCTTACCTCCAAATTGATAAAAATAGCTTCCATGTCTTGGGGAGTCAGTACCAGCCTCAGGGGGTTCATATAGTTCTGCAAGAGGGAGATGGAAAAGGGACTGAAATACTGGAGAGGAGAGAACAAGGAGGGGGTTGTGCAAGAGAGGTGTTTTTTTTTCTGCTTCACAGGTTGAATTTACCTGGGCAGGGAAAAGCAAGGTTTCAATGAGTTTAAGCACTTGCAAAGGCAGAGAACAACCAGGTTGTGCCAGGGATCCAGGTGGGAGGCAGGAACACCCATGGGTGCATCATCCCCTGGCTCCCTTGGCACTTCCAGGCTTGGGAAGGTGCAAGACCCCAACCTATGGGTAGATGCAGATCCCTCCTCTGCTAAACCCATGGGAGGGGGGTTAAATAAATGCACTCAGCTGCTTCACCTCGCTGCAGTCCTTGGCTGCACTGAAGCATCTTTCCAGCTCTTTATCTCACTAGAATTTTGCCCTTGAAAACACACCAATGATGTGATTACATCAGAAATGCCTTTCTGAACAAATACATATTAATAGAAACATCTACATGACTTGTAACCACAAAAACCCCCTGATGAAACACACCAAAGACAGAACCCTCTGCTCATAACACCACCAGAACCTGCTAAGCCTTCACAAGCCTTTTAAATTGATATCAAAGCAATAATTTAACTCTTCCTTTCGACTGAACCAGAGGGCTGTGGTTGTTTTCAAGGAACAAGGGTTATTCACATAAATGACATTATGTTGGGACATTTTCCTGGAAAATAGGAAATGTTATTCCATCAGTTTTGTTCACGGCTTCTTTGTGGGAATTTTCGGAGGGAAATAACGGCAAAAGGGGAGGAAACAAAAGCATTAGGTTGATTAGAAATGGCAGCTTGATTTTCACTATTGTTCTCCACTCCTGTTGCTTTCCTCAGAACAGGAACCACCTCCAGGCTCCCGCCACATCCACAACTCCACCGTCTTGCTGAGGTGTTCACTTTTATTTTTATTTAACAGAAAAGGCACAACAACCGTTTATCAAAACCAATTAAAACCCGTGAATTTAAGCAGCAAAATGTTACTTTTAATCCAATTAGTTTCAATGACAAGTCATCACAGCCTCAGCACTTTTGAAAAGCACCCAGAATAAAGAAATTATTCCGCAGCAATCAGAGCGATAAGATATCCGCAACCACGACTCTTATCGGCGAGCCTGGCCTGGCTGAGCGAGGAACAAGAGTCTCTTACCCCGGGGTAGGGGGTTTTCAGCTTATTTCCAATCTGCAGCAATCAGAAAAAAATATGCTGTTTGGCTCCTACAGTTACAGGCTGCATATTTGTGCTTGTCAGCCTGGGTTTTCTGGATCTCCCTTCTCTCCAATTTTTACGTGTGAGCGCATCGATCCTGCCCGCTCGCATCTGCCAGCCCTCAGAGCAAGAACTAACACGATTAACGCGAGATCGAGGGGCGAGGGGGAAGGCCACGCTCTGGAAAAGATGGCTCAGTTCTTACCTTTTCTATATCTTCAAGTGTTTTGTAGTATTTGGCCTCAGTTTCTTGGATTTCTAGCAAGCAGCAATTTCTTTTGTCATCTTCTGTCATTCCCATTTTCTAGAAAAAAAGGCAAAAATAACGCACGGTCAGATGTTCTTATGGGTGGCCCAGCAACCTGCTGATCCAGTTCAGCCTTCAGTGACAGCAAACAAGCACAAGTTTGGAAGATCAGGAGAGCACCACTACTAGTTTATGTTAAAGGGAACTATTCTTATCAAAAAATACAAGAAGGAACCCTGGCTGTATCATTAAGTATGTTTCAACATGGTAAGCATTCCAATTTTTGCATCTATTATAACCACATCACCAAAGACTATCAGCTAAAGAAGAATAATAAGAGATAAAGGCTGAGTTTCTCTATTTTTTTTTTGTGCCTAAGATGAAACTCACAACAGAGCCTAAGTGGGTCATAAATAATATGTTAGATTTACACAAATCCCCGGCCAGGATTGCCAATTCTCGTGATTTTTAGGTCAAATCTGATAAAATGTGCTTTTCTCAAAGCCCCAACTCCTGGAGTCACTTCTCTTGCTCTGACATCCGTAAAGCTGAGAACACGTGTTGGGAGCTGCTGCACTTGGCAAGGCAGGCTCTGAATTTGGGAGTTGATTCAGTGATGGGGTTTTATGGATCATGCACAGGAAAAGACACCCTCTGTCCACCCCCTTAGAACTCACAGCTCAGACCTATCAGCTGGATGAAACCCAGTATTTTAATCAATGCATCTTACCTGCATATATCTAATCTGGAGCATGCAGAAATACAAGAAGCCATTAGCATTGCACACTTGCCATTGCAACAGATCTTACAGGAAAAAAAATCAATGTTTTGGCGGATATGTGGGTGTTCATATTAAAAACAGATTCTTTTGCTCAGGGAAAGGGAGGGAAAGAGAGTCAGAGGCCTCGACTCCATCACTGCTCAGCAGAAATCATAGAACATCATAGAGGGGACAGTGAAAACCTGACAATTGCACTGACCCTAATCCTGTACTACCTGGTTGCTGGAGCTTCCCCCCATATTTTTGCCATTTATGCACAGAATTCCTACCAAAACCTTCCCAAGGGGATGTTCTGGGGCCAAATATGGCAACACGCTAAAACCACCAGCGAGCTGTGCTGACTTCAGCACTGCTGCCAGTGTCCACAACAGCTCCAAGCACTTTGGCAGGATCAGTGGGAATATTTTGTGCCCAACTCCTCGATCCAGGCAGGGTTTCAGTGTACAGGGAGCTCTTCTGGCTGCAGACAAGGTGTGAAGGGATAAAATGCCTCAACCACCATCACCACGGTCTTTGTACCACTTGCAGACGAACTGGGAGAGGGAAGGAGTCCGAGCAGGGACGTGGCTCAGCTGTTTTGGCAGGTTCCATGGATGCAGCCCTGCATTCCCAGGCTCCAGCCCCTCGTCTGGCTCAGCCACATGTCCTGGCTCTAGGGATTTAATTGATCAGCGAACTCGCCCATTGATCCTGCTTTGTTACGGGGAGGTATGTGCTGTTTGAGCTAGGAGAGAGCAATTAGTCTGAACAAAGCCTGGGGGTGGCAGATATTGGAGGCTGGGAGAAAATTTGGAAGGTCACACTCTGGAGAAGGTCCCTTCCAGCTCTATACCAGAAGAAGCCAGGGCAGTGCTGGGGAGACATGTAGTGAGGGTGGCTGTGGGCACCTTTTGGGAGGTGCAAGGGCCACCTGTACCTCCCTGGCTCATTCATGGAGTGGGATAATTGCCCCAGAGCCCTTGGAGTTAAGGCACATCCCTCCATGAGGCTGTACATACCTCAACACTCAGGTTTCCCCATCATCAAGAGGTTGTTAGAGGTGACAAAAGGGGACGGCTGCTTGTCCCTAAATCCACAGGGGTCCCTGCTGCCCCAGAAAGCTCCACTGTAAACACCTCCCCGCTCTGAGACACCCAGGTAGGAGGCAGCAGCAGGCACAAACAAGTGCTGGATCCCCCCCACCCCCAGATCTGTCAGCGCTCGCCCCGATCTAAAAATACCGGTGGCAGACACGGCACATCTGGCTGATGGAGCAGGGAGAGCTCCCACACTCCCCCTCCCCAGAAGGGCTGCAGTGACACACGCTGCCTTGACTCAGCAGCAAATTGCTATTTTTAGCTTATCTTTTAGGGCTTATTAGGTCTCCCTTTCCCTTCCTCCTCCCCGAACTCCTCCAGGTGACAGGATGGGTTGGGAAACTCCTCAGAGAACCCCCTCTGGGCCAGTGCCATCCCAGCTCTGCTTATTTTTACCACTTGCAAGGCAGCTCGGTTTCGAGGAGCAACACAGAGTGGTTCACTTCCCTGCAGCATCACCTGCCATTGGCAGACAGTTATTTATTTAATTAAATCCCCCTCCTCTCCCCTCCCATCAAGGTGCAGCTTTAAAAACGCAGATGAATTGTTACCATGGGCTGCTGAACTTCCACTCTGATGATATCTTCGTAGATATCATCGCCTTCATCTTCGCAGGGGACGCAGTCATAAATGTCCTCCCCCAGATCGTGTTCGCTGGAACGAGGAGACAGAGTCAGTGATAATAACGAGGGGATGTTCACTGTCACTTGATCAGGCAAACCAACAACAGCTCTGACACCGAGCAGGGGGGAGAAGCACAACAAGAAAATTCTCCTGGCCCACAGCACTGATGCGCTCAGTCCACGCTCTCTGTTTTTCCCGGATCAGTGCCCGCTGCACATCTCTTTCCGCTCACTGGAGGCTGGAAAAGGCAAAACGCTGCTCGACACGAGCGGGGATCACAGCCAAGAGCTGCTCTGAGCCCCATGCCAAGCACGCCTGCGATGTCCAGTCCATCATGGGCTGCCAGCTCTGCCCCCACAGAGCTTTTGCTCGGTGCTAATCGGCCCAGCCGAGCTGGACCCACCGGCCAAGCGCCCAGTGGGACCATCTGTGCCGCTGGTGTGACCAGGTCCAGCTCCACCTGCCTCCAAAGGTGCCCAGAGCCTCCTCTTCAGCTCCTACTTAGGACCAGGAGCAGCTCTTGCACCAGTGATTTAACTATATTATACTCAGAGAATGCACTTTACAGGTCTGTTTAAGGCACTGTGTTCACTCTTGATCTGGTTTGGCTGTTTCTCACTAAAAGGCTTCCTTCGTGCCAAAAAACCACCCCCTCCCCCAAGTCAGGGCTGAAAAATGGCCACAGGAGCCCAAATCCATTCAAAGCAGGAGCAGATACTAAACAGTCTGGCTCTGTGCAGTCTGTAGAAGCATCTCAGTCCTGATGAACCCACACCCCAGGCTGTGCAGGACCCACAGCAATGCCCAGACCAGTCAGCTGCCTCCAGCCTTGGGCATCACATTCAGGTTTAAAAGCTCGGGATCCACTCCCTCTGGGAGATGCATCAACTCCCATAAAGCCCAATCCCTGCCCTAATGGGCAACTGGATGATTTTTAATCCAGTATTTCTCAGAGGAATAGGAGACTCTCCTGACCACCACAAAGCAATCCTGCTGGATGCCTGGCTTGGTGATGCTCAGCCTCAATGCTGAGCAGAGGCCAATGATAATATTTACATCAGACAGAAATTAAGCAGCAAAATGTCACATTTTCAGAGTTGGCCCTGCACACACAGGCTTCAAAGGCATCACTGAGATGTAGAGCCCAATATGTATTAAAGGTGATGCTGTTCAGTAATTAATTGTCATCTGAGCCTTCACACCCCTCCCAGGGGCTCATCGGTCTTAGAATACTTCTGAAAATTCAACCCATGATAAATAGCAATTAACAATAATAATTTTAGCACTTACATCTACAGGTGCTGATTGCTAATGGCTCCCACTGAAGTCAATCCCACAGGATCAGGACAGTGTGAAACACCGGAATATCAAACAGCGCTCGCATATTTTATGAGCTGTCTCTTTCAACAGGGGTATTAATTACACCCAAATATATTTGGGTGTAAAGCTGTGCTCAAACTGTGACACTCGACATCTCTATATTATATAGCAGGGAGCAGCAGAGCACATCTGCCTGCGAAACTGGGCTTTATTTCTTTGCTAAATACACTCCCTTCTATTTTTACAAAACAGATTTATCTAATAAAAGTTTGGGGATTTTAAATAAATACACTGGCTTGATGTATCCATCCCATTCTTCCAGAGTGATGCATTGCGGCTGCTGCAATAATGCCCACTAATAGCTGGTGATCCATCTTCCCCTTCCCAGGCGTCGCCGTCACCGTTATTATCTGTACCAATATTTATATTCTCGGCTCCACTCCTTATCCAGAGCGAGTCACTCCCAGTTCCTGATTAATCTCCCTGCCCACACCTCTCGGATTGCTGGCTGTCTCTCCATACATCATCTCCCCGGCTCCAGGGTCGTTAGGAAAGCACGGTTGGGTTAATGTCACGAGCACGAGCCCGGCTGGGTGTGACACGACCAGGCGAGCGCCGCGGTGACGCCGCTGCTGGAGCAGAGCCTGCTTGGCCTCATGGGTGCTCATCACCATCCATGGGAGCGCTCAGGAGCTGCTCTGGGCTATGTGCAGAAGGAGAAGAGGCATCCTGAGGTGTCCCCGGGAAGCCCTGTGGCCTGAGCATCACCTGGGCATTCTCTCTGCACACCGACACAACCAGGTGCCAGGTCCAAGCCTCAAACCCCAGTAAGACCCATCCCAAGCCTGTTGCTGCTGTTCCCAGACTGGACAAGTTCTCCTTTTCTCCCCCTTCAGGGAGCCATGAGCTCTGGACTGTGGTGGGCACGCACCAGGACACCACTGTGAGAAATCCAGTGTGACATGCTGAAGGGGTTTTGCTCAATCAGGTTTCCTGGGCCAGGCCTGCAGAAGGATGGGTGTCCCATGGACCTGGTCCAGCCTGGCCCTACCCAGAGCCCCTCCAGGCCACCAGGAAAGAGGCAGGAATGCTTACCAAGGGTCAACATGGGAGATTTGCCCACAGAAGTGCCAACAGCCACCAGACACGAACACTGCACCTATCACAAGGGGACACATCCTGACACCACCTTGCTACTCTCACTGCTCTAACAAAGAGGCTGAGCCCTACTGCTCCACCCCTTCAGGCTCATCAATATCAGCACAAGCCTTTCCCAACTCTGATTTCTGGCCTCACACAAAAAATAGGAACAACTCCCTTGTCCTGGGGTCGTCTAGAAAGACACTCACCTAAGAGCTTCGGGGAGAGGCACTAGAGATGCTCAAACCCCACAGCCGGGGTGGCATTAAAACCATACCTTTGTCCAGCAGACTGTTGCTTGTTAAAACACATTCCTAGTACATCCCTGAGAAACACCAGAGGCTGCCAGTTTTATGGAGAGCAGTAAACCGTGTGGATTAACCTCTCCTGGAGCAGGCTGCGAGCAGCCAAGCTCCAACGGTGCCGCACGGCTGTTGACAATCGCTGCTGTGCACATATTGATTTTCATCAGTCTCCACATTATGCCTGTCAGAGTTGAAAATACGCACCCTTCCCCCGTCGTTAAAACAGGGAACAGGCATCAGGGTGATTTTAGCCAGTGGCAACCTAAGGACATGCTAAATGCAGGCAATAAATTCGGCATCCCAAGCATGTCACACACACACAGATGGAACAACTTGAGCAAGGAAAGCCAGATCTTCACCTCGTTCTTCACAAGGAAAAGCAATTTACTCCTTCAATAAAAGCAGCAGAGTCTGTGAGTTACCGGTGGGTATCAGAGCCTATGATCTACTGCCTGGATTAGGAGATTCATTGACAGCTCTGGGTTTAGGAAAGGGATTTTATCCGCCCTTCAGAGTTAACGCCAGTATTTGCAATTACTGTTATTAGGATGGATGTAACCAGCTTTGGGATGGCAGCATCTTGCCGAGCCAGAAAAGCTCATTCAAAGCAAAAAAAAAAAAAGAATGAAGCTTTTCATATCTAAGGCAATTTCAGGCAAAAACAATGCTTTTGGCTGTGCTCTGCCTCCCTGGCAATGCTTGCTCTGTACGAACACCCTCCCAGGCAGGCAGCAGCCATGCCAAGGAGCAGCTCCCATTACAGAGGGGCTGATGCCAGGATGCTGCCTTAGAGTGAGGGACAAACACATGGGGAAGCTCTGATGGACTTGAGGGCCACTGAAGAACCTCTTTGCCCATAAAAGCTGCTCTGGGAAGTTGATGAGTCTGTACCAACCCTAAGAATGCAGGGACAAACCCACCATGCCAAAACACCCGTCCAAACCACACAGATGGAAGAGCCAGAACCACCAGGAACAGCAAGAGAAAGGGAAGGAGGGGACAGAAGGAGCTAAAATAAGACAACCAAGAAATAACCCCAAATTTCCAGCCCTGTGGCTGAGGTTAAGAGCCAGAAGACCTCAGAGCCACCACCGGGTCCAGGTTGGGAATGCATCTGCAGGGACTCAGAGGCAGCTGCCCAGCAACTGCAAGGCTCCAGTCTACCCCAGTAATCCTCCACTTTCTCATTCTTACTCTGCACTTACAGCTATAAATAGACAGTTCATCCAACCAACCCCCTCATTCATGGGCTCCATCAGACGAGGAGAAGCAGAGTCCTATATTTGCAGCACATCTGGCAGGCTTGGGTTTCAGGGTGAAGGAGTGCGAGATGTGCAGTCCCTGGACTCGAGATCTTGCAGGGTTTAATTAGCCAGATTGTACTTGGATGGAGACACATCTGGAAATAGCAAAAGAGAAGCCTTTTGCCATCTATTCTGCTTGGGCCTTGTGTTCCCCATTCAAAGTGGAACATTATGATCCCAGGAACGAGCCTCACACAGTTATAGCACATAACATGATCCTAGAAAAGGCACAAGTAGGACGTATAAAAATCAATACGGGTGACAAAGAAGAAAAGACACGTTTACAAGTGCTATGGCTCAAGTGCCCTGTACCCCAGAGCCATTTATTTAATGGGCTGGCATGCGTGGTCTGTCCAACACAGTAAAAATAATGAGAAAAGTGGCAGCTAACTTATCATCTCACCTTGGCTCCTCTGCTCACCACTTTCTTTTAATGCACTTGAGAAATTCTGCTGATCACATCACTGTTTTAGGAGGTATGATTGGGCAAAGCTGGTGACAGCAGGGGAAGAAGTAGGAGAAACTTCAGTGAGAAGCTGTTGGCAGGGGGCAGGTTGTTGGCAGAGGCTGTGCCCAGAAGAGAAACTGAGGCTGGGCAGACCTAGTTCCCTCCTTTTCTAGGATGAAAAGTTTGGGAATACACAGTTACTCCCAATGCATCTGTTGGGGATAAATCCCCGGTGAACTGCAGCTCAAAACAAGAGCAGGGGATGTTGACACTGCCCTGTGGGGTGAAGCTCCCCAAGGGCACACACTGGCTCCAGCACAGAGTTTTGAGGGAGCTGCTTTGCCTAAAACACTTACTTGGTCCTTTCTGCAACACTACAACTTCTCTCCTCAAAACACATTACATTGGAAGGAGAAAATAAAGGGAAATGTTACACAAATTAAATGTTTCACATCAAACCATTCACAACACTTCTGCCTGACTCTGAATTCTTCCAAGAGCCAACGAGCAACCCAAAACCAACCCTATGTGTAATCCACCCAAGCCTGCTGGGCTTAGTGCCAGGGCAGAGGGACAGTGCCATGAAGTGCAGAAGGTTCATCATAAAGAAGGGTCTGGTGCTGTAAAGAGGACCAGAATTAATTGCTCTCATAAATTTAATGAGACAAAATAACTGGAGAGAGCTTAAGTGGCAGTAAAGAAAATTCAGGTTAAATGTTAAGTATAACTCTGAGGTACCAGGATGGTCTGGAGCAGCTGAAAGAGCCATCAAGAGGGATGGAAAAGCAGTTGGTGGGGAAGAAGCTCATCAGTAAGGCAGATAATTGCCCACTGACATCAGTGCCCAGCAGCCATACCCAGGTGGGAAGCAGCAGCTCACAGCCCTGCAGACCTGTGGGAGCATCCCCAGGACAAGGGTTGCTCTGATTTTGGGGGCACAGGCTATGGAGGAGAACGAGCCCACGTGTTGCTGTTGCAAAGACCAGCTCATTTCGTGGACAAGCTCCCCCCAGACCAGCTGCAGCTCTAGGGTCTGGCACTAGGGCAGGATGAGATAAATCAGGCAGCAGAGGACAATTGCCCTCTTATTGCTCCTCCTAGTATTGATCAGGCACCACTTGCATCCGGCCAGCCCTCGCCATCTGCCCAGGCTGCTGCAGGCTGCCATCTGGCCCATGGCAAAGCAAACCGAGGGGCCAGCAGGCTGAAAACAGGGAATTTGAGAACTTCCTAGCTCCCCTGATAGCCTTTTAGTTTCCCTTCCCCTTTCCATCACCAGTTATTCTTTTTTTTTTAAAACCAAATAGCTGTTTCCAGGCAATTATGTGCCTCGATCTGCTGGCGGGCTGACCCAGCGCTGGGGAGCTGCCTGGAGCTTGGATTCATCTCTGCAACACCCCAAAGGTGAAAGAACAATGGGGTCATCGAGGTTCAAACATCCTTTATGCACACCTGCACCCCACAGACACCCTGTGCTCACACAGACCTTGTTCCTGCAGCCCACACAGATGTCCCTGTGGCACTGCCATTGATCCTCTCCAGCCCTGGCACTGACTTTTGCCCCCACCTGCCGGGGCTCCTCCACACTGGAAGGGTCATCAGGATGAAGGTTCTCACTCTTCAGAGCATAATGGGGACAGTGGGGACAAAGCCTGGTTCCTTCTGCTTCCCAAATCAGCACCTCCATCACAAATACATTCATATTTTGAATGCTTTGCAGAACAGAAAGTCACCTAAAATCTGAACTGGGGAACACAGAACTGCTCCATTTAAGTACTTAAGAGTTGAAATAAAACATTTTGACATTTTCAACAACAACAATCTTTTTTTCCAACCCCTAAAATGTCTTGTTAGAACCAGCTCAACATTTATCCTGAGCTTTTTACCCCAGCAGCACCATGTCCAAAGAGAGCTCTCTCTCTCAAGAGATTCCTCTCTCCCGGGGGTGAGCTGATGGTGCAGAGCCCACCAAGGCTGTCCCTCCTCACCCACACCCTGGCCCTCTGAGGCCAGCAGGGACAGCAGGGTGGGACCTTGAGATGACACATCTCATGATGGTTTTACAGGCAGGACTGTAGCAGTTCCTTCCACACATTGGGTCATTTCACCGCTTGCTGTGAAAATCACTTCCTCGCCTCCAATAAAGCATTTTGTGTGCACTCAGATCTTCCCAAGGCTGCTGGATCATCAGCAGTATTAAATGCAAAGATGCTGGATGGACTGAATCACTCCCAGCTCGTGAATGATGCCCTTGTTCAGCTGTTTGGAGGCTCAGCAGGAGCTAAGAAAGAGCTTTCTCATGCTGTGCCCCAGCCTGCCAGCGCCCAGCAGCGGTGCCCAGGACGCACCATTGTGACCAGCAAAATCCCAGTGAAAGTTTCCTTGTCAAAGGGAGAAAGGGGGACTATTGCTGATGTGCTCCAGGCAGCTGGAGCAGCAACACTCCTGTGAAGGGGCTCTCTGGGGCGTTTCTGGGGTTTTCACAGCTATGGGTGAATTCCATCTCCGTTTTGTAGGTCGTGTTTCCCTGCACAGCCTGGCTGGACCAGGAGGGTAGATCTGGATGCAGGAATTGGTGCAGTAACCCCATGCTGATTTACACACACTTCTCCCCACTGGTCTTGGCTAAAGATTTAGAGAAGAGGATTTTGCAAAGAACGGGAAAAAAGGGAAAGTTAAAAGTTGGAGACGATCTGGGACAGAACAGGGCAATCAACAGAAATAAACCTCCATCTGAGTTGGGCACCTCTCATTGAGGGACAAACTCACAGCCAGGCCTAAGGAACAGTTTGGGAAGATTCCACCCAGACACCCCATGGGAGCTGCACCACTGGCAGCTGGGAACCCACTTCCAACACTGAACAACCTGCTCCAAGCTCTGAGCATGCCATCCCCAAAGCTCCCGTTTCTAGGAGAGTGCTGCCATCCCAGCCAGCACTCCTGTGTGACTTCCCACACAAACCCCTCTCCAATTAAAAGCATGTCTATGTGTGAGAAGCAGGAATTTTAAACCCCAGTATTAAAAGGATTTTGAGAACTTCTGGGGAGGGGGCAGAAAAATGTTGCTCTAGAAAGGATCCCTTTATAAGTTAAAATTATATTAAACTGTAGCTGTTGGGAGCCAACAGCAAGCAGGGAATTCCAGGGGACTCCATTCGCTCCGCTGGTAATTTATGATTTACTTTTGTAATAACTGAAGCCATAAGGAACTCATTGGATTAAGGAGCCTTATTATTTATGTTGTGGAACAATAATATTTAACTGTATAAAGCCACATATCCACCCATAACAGTCCATCCCTCCGTATGAAACAGACTGTTCCACATAAACAAACCCCTGGCTGATGGGAATGCTGCCATCGAATTCCAATAGTGACCGTGCTTTACCATTTATGTTGTAGTTCAAGGTTGATTTTAAAAGCCTGTTATATCATCACCACGGGCAGCAAAACACAGACACAAGACAAACAGAGGCAGGACACACCAGCAGCACCACCCCATGTCCTAACACACCACCAAGGACAGGCAGGATGTGTCCCTTGTGAGGGGCCTGTGGCCCCATCCCTGCAAGTGTCCAGGTTAGACAGGGCTTGGAGCAACCTGGTGTCCTGGAAGGTGTCCCTGACCATGGCAGGGGACATGGAACAAGATGGTCTTTAAGGGCTCTTTTAACCCAAAATATTCTATGATTGCCCTGGGGACACCTAGGGTGGTCCAAAAATCATCCATGGGGGATCAAGATCCATGTTCCAGAACCCACACAGCCCAAAAACTGCCATGGGGGGAATCAGCACTGTTAGCAACAGGTACCCCACTCCCAGCAAGTGGCTTGGCTTTGGTCAGCTCAGAGGATAAATTATGTCCCAAGGTTTTGCAGCTAATGATGGAATTTAGAAGGTGGAGGGGATCTCGTGGGCTTGGCCCCCTTCACCCCCCACCAAGCTCCTCGTAAATTCAGCCTGATTAAAAGTGATGTCTCCCAGGGCTCTACACGGGAAAAGATGGGCTATTGTCAGAGCACAAAAATCTCCTGGCAGAAGGATCAAAGCAGCCAGCCCACTTCTCCAAGCCCCGCTGTCAAATTTTATCTGCCTTTGCTGGAAATACTCTGCAACTTTTCCCTTTCCGCGTCCCCTCCCGTGAGAAGGTGAGGCCACTTACTCTGCCAGCTCCTCCAGGCTCCGATACACGTCATCATCGTTTTCCGTGGTCTCCTCCGACGGGAAGGGCCTAGGGAAGGAAAGGAATGACAGTGTTACTGGTGCCTCACCCCTCGCAGCAGATCCCCTGAACTCAGCCCAGCCCAGAGCGTCCCGCTGAGCAGAGGCTGTTTCGGAACAAAATATTAATCGCAAATCCATTTTTTCCTGTTGAGGTATTGGCTCCCAGGATGACACTGCTTCCCACAGGCAGCCCTGGCATGGCAGGACAAGAAACCAGGTGGTGAGGCTGGCTGAGCACCTGGGCCCCAAAACGAGGAGCAGCATCATCTGACGGCACCCAAGGCTGAGCCGCCGCTCCTGCTGTGCTGGTGCTGCACAAACACCTCAGAAATCTAATTCAAGCCTGGTGCTGGACACGTTAAAATGGAGAAACACCTTCTCCTCCAGCTCTCATGGAGCCTTCCTACCTGTGAGCTCCTGCCCTGCTCAGCCAGGCACGGCTGGACACACCGTGCTGCTTCCCACTCGTGTCTCCCACTGCTGCAAACAGCTGATCCCACAGGAATGACTGAGTCCTTATGAACCCTGGGCTTCCTCATCTTAACAACTTTGCGACAGCTGAAAAAAGTTAAACCCCTGGGGATGAGGGAAAGGACACCAAAAGGGCAAAAGGAAGGGGGGAAAAAGCAGATTAAAAGAGCACGGGAGGGAGTGGGGGGAATACAAGAATTCCCTGGCTCGTTCTGAAGTAATAACCAAATAACGTATGAAGGAGATGAAAAATACTGTTTTAATTAAACCCAATGTATTATTGCTGGCACAGGGCCAGGGTGGGCTGTGGCTCTGCTGGGGCTGGATGCACCTTGTGGCTACAGGGGCTGCGGGTCCCCGTGGGCACAGCCAGCCTTGCTCCAGCCCCAGCACAGGGACACGGAGGGGTGGCAGTAGGGCAGCTTGCTCCACCCCTCCTGGGCATCAAGGAGAAGGCAGGTGGGGTTCCCCAGGCCATGAGCCACAGGGGATGGGGATGCTGGTGCTGTGGAGGAGCAAAACTGGATACACGTGAACTTCTAACTGCCCTCGAGAGCAATTTCCTCCTCTGCCCTCCCCACCTTCCTTGTTTCATGATAGATTACCTCTCCTGAAAGATTTAAAACATGGCCTGGTTAGCCCCCAAATTTGCTATTTTTGGATCCTTTCTCTAGCATTAATTTGCTTTCTCTCCTCTGCTACACTTCACCCTTCCTTCAGCGAGCAGCACTTTGAAATAGCGCTGAAACCTGCAGCAAGTTCAATTAAAACCCCAGCCAGGTGGAGAGCCCAGGAGGGAAAAGAACCACAGACAGCCAAGATCTGTACAAAATGCGTGTTTCCTCACCCCTGCTGTCCACTGGGGATTAGTGGCAAGTACAAAAGCCACGTGAAGCACAGGCAAAAAAGCCACCAGCTCGTCCTGCATGTGAGGGAACTGGGAATCAGTCTTGGACTTCAGCCCTGGTGGGCAAAGGGATATGGCAGCCACTGCTGCAGGGCTACACCACCCCACACAGCTACAGCAAGAAAGCAGAACTCAGAGGTGACCTCTGTTTAAACACCACTTGTTAAAATAATAATAAAAAGAAATCCACCACGAGGCACGACCTCCTTTCTTTTACATGCATCTTCTGCTCTTAATCTCTGACTATTTCCTTCCCCAGTGCTCACCAGGCCAGAAAGAAAGAAGTAAAGGAGCCATAAAGAATATTAAAATCACATGCACACATTTCCAGCCATAAATCTGGGCTTGAGGTGTAATTGGTTCCTGTGATAAACCCCCCCATGTAAGACAAGGAGACAGCAAAGAGAGAAAAATATTTTCTAATGAGAGTTTCATGGGGAGGCAGCTCTGCTGGCCCTCCCAGCTTCACCTTGACTGTAGGTAAAGCACCAGAGTGAAAGTCAGGGCAGGGGAGGAATTAATAACCTGTATCCCCACAACAGCAGCTAATGGCTAAATAAGGATGCAGAGAAGGCAATTAGAAGGAAAGTCACACCGAGGTGAGGATTACTGAACGGACCATCTAAAATCTGGAGCTGAAGGACGGCTTTTTGGAGAGAGCCCTTGGGTTTGCCCTTTGTCTGTGCCTCTTTCCCAGCTGTCCATGCTTTGCAGAGGCTCCCCGTGTTCCCACGTCACCACTGTGGGGGCAGAGCTGCCATCTCCCCTGCTCCAAAACAAGGTGCCAGCCCTCAGGATGCAGGATAACTCACACAAGGTGGGACCATGGGACGGTCCTTGCTCCTCCCCAACAAGGTAGCCCTACTAAGAACCCCCCAACAGCAAACCCGTTGCTTGAGACAAATCTGCAGGTCATTTTTGAGACAAATCTGCAGGTCATTTTTGAGACAAATCTGCAGGTCATTTTTTCCCCCCCTTTTTTTTTTTTTTTGGTAAAACAAGTTAAAAACATTGCAGGTCTAAAAGCTACTGAGTCCCTGGGAAATTCTTACAGACCTCCAGGCTTGATGAAACTTCTTACGTAGTATTAAAAGCTGTGGCTGGGAATGCCCAGCAGCAACGAGTATTTCGAGTCCACTGAAACCCAACAGGTTTGCAGAGATCCCGGTTTATTAAAATTCATTTGAAAATGCCTCTCATTTCCTATCTTTAGTTAAGCACCAGATTTTGTTTTTTACTCCACCACCATGCAAAACCACCTGCTGAGCCCTTCATCCTCCCAGCCCGTGCCTGGGCTGCTGCAATCCCAACTCAGATGAAGAGTGAAAAGCCCCAGCGACATCAAACAGCACCAGAACAGGCTCTCAGAGATAATAAACCTCCCAGAGTAGACTCCTTCACAGACAAACCCCACAGCATTCAACAGCATCACTTCCACAGATCAAAGAGGAGAAGGAAAGTGGGATTGATCTGATGTATTTGTTTTAGAGCCTGAAAGGGAAGAAAAGACCAGGTAATTTGTTAGGGAGTTTAGAGTGAGCTTTGCCTCTGGAGGACAAGACTTACAGCAGATGATGGCTCTTGACATGCGATGCAAAGCACCCCCTTGATCTTACAAAACATTTTGGCTACTCCCTGCATTGCACATGCACAGAGCAGAGCGCCCTGCAAACACCAGGAGAGGCAGGAGCAATCCACAGCCACAGCACATCCCACGGGGGGATAATCAATTAATATTTCAGGAGGCACCTAATGCAAAAACCCCTCCCTTGCTCTCAGGTTGCCCCATGATCCATCCCACGCCGCATCCTCATCATCCACTCCTGCACAGTAAATCTCTCTGTGGGGAGAAGGAGCAGCTCCACACGCTGCCTTGGCTGCTCTCTCCCCTGAATTATTTAAAGGGAAGAGCCAGGTAGGCTGCAATTCTAACAGCAATAAGCAGGAAGGTTTATTTATTTATGAGCATATTTCAGCATCTGGGTGCCTTGTCCTAGCAACTGAGGCCAATTGTTCACCTCTGCAGTGCCTTCACAGAGAACAGAGGGTCAGGAATGGGTCAGCTTTAGCCTGATGATTTTATACTGCAGCATCTTGGCCTCAAATCCACGTGTGACAATGCAAGAAGGATCCAGCATGGTTTATTTTCTACTTTTCCAGCGCCTATTCTGATTTTTTGGGGTCAATGACCCATTCAGTGCTCTCTACCCCAAGGAGTTGTTCCCACTGCTCTCGATGGAGATGGTCCATCAGGCAGATCTGCAAGGAAATTCTCATGCCTTGTGCAAACACCTTTAACAGACTAAAGGAGGTGGTTCATCCCCCTTTCAGGAGAGGGATTCCAGTCTCCCAGCGAGATAATCTCCCCCTCTTTTCCTAGGATCACACTTGAGTGTTTTACAAAGCAGGTGGAGTATGTGACACCCGAGAAACCTGAGCTGCTCCCATCTGCTGCCCCTTCTGTGAGGGGTTTCTTCATAAACAAGAAGGAGACCAGAGCCTCAAGCTGCTCCAAAGGAGCTTCTGCAGCTCTGCTGGGATGGAAGGGGCTGTGCCAAGTCCTCCTGGCCCAGAATCTGGTAGAAAAGCATTTCCATAATGCGGAATATACAGACTGTAATTACACCTTGCAGTACCTCACAGATCCCCATGGTTGGAGGTACAGACCTTCTGACAGCCCTGTTTCGAAGAAAATATTGTGGCAATGCACAGCTCCAACCTTCCCCTTTTCTTTTTTCATCCTCTTTTTCTCCAGGATGGCTCACCCTGTGAGCATGGGATCACCCCATCCCAGTGACCATGGATCCCCTGTCAGTCATCAGTTCTGGAACCCCAGAGTCCAGTGGATCCCCTGGGCACACCATCACTCCTTCATGAGCACTCCTGGAGCTGCTTAAGGAAAACCATGTAGTTTTCCAAGACATTTGCACTCAACTGAAAATTCCTTCCTTGTCGGCTTTGGTGGGATTAGGCAGATTAAAGGAGCATTTAATTTACTGATGAACCAAGAGGTGGATGTGAGCTGACCAGGGACAAGCAAAGAGGTGAGCTGGAGCTGCTCCTCCAGTCCTGCTCGAGACCCAGGCAGCACCTCCAAGATTTGGTTCCCATCTGTGAAACAGGAACACCATCAGGGAATGATTTTGGTCAAGTGCTGAGAGGTAAAACCACACTATTAATGCCCAAAATCCATTTATATGAAGCAGAATAGAATCAATTCTCCCCATGCAGAACAAGGCACATTGGAGCATACCAAAAGCTGCTGAATTTAATTAAAATCATACTATTGTGTTACATTACTCATCTCTGGAAAGAAGCACCTCACGCTGTGCCAGATTTTAGACATGTCCTCTGAAAAATTATGATTTGCTTTCATTTGTGGTCTGGAACTTGCAGAAATTCTCACAAGATTAATTCTGATAGAAATTCAGTGGGGAAAGAGCAAGCTGCATCATGAGATAGCACAGAGATGATGATTTTGCAGGAGGGAACTCAGCACTTAGCACAGTGCACAGCCCAAGGCTGAGCTGCATGTCCTGCTTTATCTTCAGCTCAAATCTGAACTGAGGATTTCTGGGGACGACGAGACAAGAAAATAACAGCTCGTATAATTTTACATTTCAACACAT